ATAGTTTATTAATGTAGTTATTTTAACAATTATTGTATATTGCATATTTATTATTCATAAAGTGAAAATAAAATAAAAAAGAAATGAAAATACGTTTTAACAATAACATTTATTTTCAAATTATTTCTTTTAAAAACTATTTCATCTTACTAATTTAATAATAATATAATTTATAATACGAAATTCGAGTATGGTATTTTAACATATATTATTGTATATATATCAATATATATTTTCAATAATAATTTTGATATTTTATTTTTTCAAAATAAATAATTTAAAAAAATTTTTTAAAATAAAATATTTAAAAACTGTAATTAAATATGAAATTTATTTTGTACTTCTCGAATTACTTGATAAAAATGGTTTATTTTAATTAAAATTTGTTTCAAACTATAAATATATATTTCAAAATAAATTCTGCTTATTTCGAAATAAAGTTTAAAAATAAATTAAAAAAAATACTCACAATTCCTGTAATAAAGAAAAATTGATATTCTATAATAAATTAACAGAGCTATAGACATTAGACATTTTAGAACATGGAGTAACTCCAGAGGTTATTATAACAGAATTTTATTGGAGATTAATAGAACAGAAAATGAAAAAATTAGATATAGATTCCTTCTTTACACAATACTCATAATATTATCTTTAGTATATAGGCGAGAGTACTGCTGGTTTACTGTAATTCTATAAAATTGCTTATTAGAGCTTATTCTAAAGGACCCAAGAAGTCATTACATAAAATGAACAGAAACGAAAAACTAACTAAAAAAATTATTATCACTTTACAAAAGTACTTTTGAAAGAAAATTCATATTTCAATTATTTTTTCAAAATAAATTTTTATTTAATTGTAAATTTTTGGCCATTAAATCGACTCCATGTATATTTAATATAAATCTAAATGTTAAGTTATATGATATCAATTTACTTGTAAATTATTAGTACATTTAAAAAATTTATTTAATAAATAAAATTAATTGACTATTTACAAAGTTTAAACTGACTATTTTCAAAATTTAAGGTACTTAATTTATAGTTTCATTATTAATATGAATATTCTTATCAAATAAGAAATATTGTTTTTCTTAATTTTTGTTTTTTAATTTTAAGATTTATGTAAAAAACAAAAAATTTTTATTTCAAGATTATTTTATTATATATTAAAGTTTTATTTTATATTAGTCATGAATTCTGTTGTTTTTGTTGTTATTTTTCACTGATTACTTAGTTTGAACATCACAAATTTCAATTAAGTTTTGTTATGGAAAATTTGATTAGTAAATATAAAATAGAATTTCAGAAAAAAATACTCATTTAATTAATTTAAATACTTTTAATGGAAATAAAAGAATATCTAGATTTGAATTGAAATCAAATGAAGCATTAGTACAAAATGTAACAAATTTTGTCAATAAATGCTATCGTTTTCTATAATTACATGAATTTTTGTTTGTAATAATCTATTACAAAAGAGCAAAATTATGTTGTGAAATGTAGAGACAAATTGCTGTCAGATAAGTCTGTTTAGTATTCTAATAAGCATTTTCTCCTATTTTGTCCTTAAAAAAATTATAATAGAATATAAAAAAGAAATATAGTTCTTAAGAAATCTATATTATTTATGATTATCAATTTATAATATTTGAATTTAAATGTCTTATACAATTAAAATACATTTTTGAATTGTTATAAATTAAATTATTTAGTTGTATTGAAAATTTATAATTTAGGATTAAATTTATTTTTATCTAATCAGGGAATCAAACAGCTTTAATGTGATTCAGTTTATTATTTTTAATGAACAATAACTTTACATACAAATATAATATTAATAAAGAAACAATTAAGAAGTTCTAAGTGGAAATAATATTTATACGTTTAATGGATTGTAGAATTGCTGGATAAAGTGCATTTAAGATATTAAAAAATTGGACCATGTATTAAAATTTGAAATAAATTAATAACTATTAATGATGGTAAAAAGACTTACTTTTGTTCGAGGAAAACAATGAAAATATTATGCTGGATTTAATGAATGTAGTCTAACACGATTATGGAATAGCAAATATATATAGATATGCTACAATAAGAATGATAACAAACTTTCAATTCATAAATGGAATCAAGAGATACATTCATTGAATTAATGTATTGCTTTTGAAATAAAATTTAGGTTAGAATTAATGAATAATATCAATTAAATTATCTTAAACTAAACATACAGACTGTATTAATAAAAAGTCTATAGCTTATTGGAAAAGAAAGTTTTGAATAAAAATAAATACTTTGTCCATCATATTCATATATTGTAATGAAGTTAAACACCCTGTTATGATGTATACTTTGATATAAATATTTATAAATTTAAACCATAAGTTAGAATAAAATTATATTCTGATCATAACTTAATCATATATGATTGGACATGAAGAATAGCATTGAGATGCCTGAAATTAATACATTATCCACATTAATGTATTACTACACCAAAAAAATGATTAGGTACGTTGATTATCCACATCAACAAATTTGAATTATCTTGTACAGGATTTAGATGAAATTAAAACATTTTGTGTATATATAAAATGAAGTAATATTACAAATTATATAAATTATACAGGTTACTTACAAGTTAATTTATGTTGGTATGTGTTCGAAAATGTAAGAAAACTCCCAGCTCATTAAACATCTGGAAAATTCGAGATAAGAGTTCCGAAAAAGGCGAACTCTCGACTACTCGAGAAATAACATTCAAAACGCGCCTCGGATTAACTAAATCTAAACAATTCAGCAAAAATTCGAATATCTAAAGAAAATACAATTCATAAACACATGTGGCGAGAACAAAGGTCCAAGTGTCCAGCAAAAAGCCGTCATAAAGCTAATGCTACGAAACATTTGACAGGGCATCGCCACAAAGCATCTATCGACGACAAGTCATAATACTTCTGGCATAGTCAAGTCATAAAAATATAAGCAAAAACCACCTCGTCTTACATCCGAAAAAAGGGATATTAAAGGCAACACTGCACGCATACGGTGTTGTCAACCCAGCTACATGTGACTCGGATAGTGAAGCGAGAACGTGCCAAAGAAGTCCCCTTCTCATGGTGGGACTGCAAGTAAGAAGCGCTCTAATTGGAGCCGCCAATAATGAAAGAATCAATTCGATTGGAGACGCCCAGAAAGAGGCGCTCTGATTGGAAATTCATAAGGACCACGCGGTAACCGAGAATGCCTTTAAGAAAGACGCCGGTAAGGCGCACGATAGTCACTTCTCACCAGAGAAGCTGGCAAGGCTGCTTCTCCAAGGGAACGCCAAATAACAAGAATGTAGACATACACAGTAAAGACCGATTAACAGGCAAAGTCTAGTCATGTCCAACTCATAACAAGTGCAAGATAAATGCAAATCAAATCATACACTCGCAGCAGTGCAAGATAAGGAAAAGGAAACAAGTAAACAGTGGTGCACAAGGCACAACATAATCACAATAATAAGGAGCCGTTCGATGCAAACTCAGCAAACAATACAAAGTATAGTCAGAAAAACACAAAACATAAAGTATAAGCTGCCACACAACGCACAACCTGCAGACATCACGAGCTGCCATCAAGAGCATAAAAATCTGCAGAACTCATAAGGTAAAGTTCCATTCCTTAATAACGATAATAATACACAATATGCCTCACAAGGTAAAGAATTGTAGAGCGACCAAGCTCACACAATCTGCGAGCACATAAGGGGCAAGTTTAGCTCCCACAAGAAAGACTTACGAGGCGCTGTACGCAGCAATATCTGCAGACTAAGATGAAGTGACATCAAAAGCACACCTGCAGAGCCTTCAACGTAAGCAATAAGACAATACCAATGCAAATTCAAGCTACTGCCATGTGCCACTGCATAAGGAAGCACAAGGGTTTACGACCTTGTTCTTCTACGTGTATAACACCACCACCACATGCAATACTTATAGAAGACCAGAAGGCTACGCTCTTCTACCTGTACATGCAACGCACATTACAGCTCGTGGCAATAGCAATACAAAACTCAAGAAACGAAGGCATTCAAACATAAACTAAAATTCATTATAATACAACTAATGCAATTATCGCAATAAACTAAAACAAATACCAAATCTATTTATTATTGAATACATGCACTATCCTGTCCACTTGCTCGCAACCCTCCGTTCCACCATCTGAGAGTTTATACCTAACTCTAGATATTTGGCCCTCCTAGCCCGGTACTCTATTTTTAGACAGCATGTTTACCTATAAATATGAGAAAAAACAGAAATTGTTTGCATAAACTATAGAGAACATAAGTAGTGGTATTCGGTTTAGATTTGGTTTTTACCTTGATTGAACAAATATAATTTTCACGGAAAATAATTCGAGTGAAATGAAAACGAGTATAGTGCAATACTTATACAATCTTAAATGATTATTTACGTTCTAAAAATTAAAAGAATCATTTATCAGTTAAAATTAATGTTATTTCTATCTTCCCACGAGTAATGTATTTTTAATAGTATACAATCATTAATTGAAGATAAAATTTTAGATTATTACATAAGAACTTTATAATTTTTATCATCAATAAAAAAATTATTCACATATAATAATCGGATGTTATGAGATTATTTTTTCTATTCTACAATTATATAACAATACAATTGTACTCTATCCTTTTGTTTGTGCCAAAGAATTTATGAAAGAAAACATTCGCATATTCTAATCAATTATACGACTATTTGCGCAGAATCCAGATAACTAACCTCATTTCACTATGGGCAATGCTAAGAATACAAAAAATATTTTCAAGAAACATGCATTCTATGGTCAAATTTTATTTAAATTTTACATGTTCATAACCTATATTCCTTTAGATCGGTGTTCCTTTTACTAAATAGTTTGTGAATTTCGTTTTAAATATTTTATGTAACTGAACGATTCTTTGAAATTATGTTAAATTTAGTCGAATGAAAATGACAAATTCAGAACAACATTGTATTTTTGTAAGTTTTATTATTAAAATATAATTTTAATTATTTACATAATTCTTGTACTAATATAGAACGAAGAAGATGTACTTTATGAAGAAGAAATATTAAGAAATCCATATTCAGTTAAACATTGGCAACGATATATTGATCATTTAAAATCCTCAAAACATTTAAGTTTGAATCTAGTCTATGAGCGGGCTCTTAAGGAACTACCAGGAAGGTACTTATAAGCAATATAACATTAAATTTTTTTGTAGCATACAACTAATTTTGTATAATAATACTATTAATAATTTGAATTTTTGTAGTTATAAATTATGGTACAATTATCTAAGACATAGAGTGAGTCAACTAAAGGATCGATGTATTATAGATCCACTTTTTGATATTGTGAATAATGCTTTTGAAAGAGCATTAGTATTCATGCATAAAATGCCTCGAATTTGGATGGATTATTGTTCATTAATGACAGAGCAAGGTTATATTACTCAAACTCGTCATATTTTTGACCGTGCTCTTAGAGCTCTTCCTATAACACAACATCACAGAATTTGGCCTCTTTATATCGACTTTGTAAAGAAACATAATGTTCATGAAACTGCAGTTCGAATTTTCAGAAGATATTTAAAAGTATATATTTATTTCTGTATATATTGTGTAATTTAATATTACTATATTTATATTTTTTATTCCTTTATAGTTAGCACCAGAAGAAACAGAAGAATATATTGATTACCTTATTTCAATAGACAGATTGGATGAAGCTGCTATGAAGCTTGCAAATATTGTTAATCAAGATGATTTTGTATCAAAATATGGAAAATCTAAACATCAACTTTGGAATGAACTTTGTGATTTAATATCAAAAAATCCTACAAAAATTAAATCTCTTAATGTAGATGCTATAATCCGTGGTGGATTACGGCGTTATACTGATCAAGCTGGTCCTCTTTGGAATGCATTGGCAGATTATTATGTTCGAAGTGGTCTTTTTGAAAGAGTATAATTACAAATTAATTTCAAAATTTAATTATGTTCTAAGATATTATGTATAAATGTATTACTTTTAGGCTAGAGATATATATGAAGAATCTATACAAACTGTAACGACTGTAAGAGATTTTTCACAAGTTTTTGATGCTTATGCACAATTTGAAGAGCTGAGTCTTAAGAAACGAATAGAGGAAGCTTCTGAAGTCCCCATAGAGGATGGTAAACATTTCTACTTTTTTAAAAAATATTTACATTTTTTCTTTTAATTAAAAATTTTTTTTTAATTTTTATAGATGATATTGATTTAGAATTAAGATTAGCAAGATTTGAAAATCTTATGGAAAGAAGATTACTATTACTTAATTCTGTTTCGTTGAGACAAAATCCTCATAATGTATTAGATTGGCATAAAAGAGTAGAATTATATCAAGGTCAACCTCATGAGGTAGCTTCTTTATATAACTTTAATATTTTTAACTATTTTTTTCATTAAACCAAAAAACATTTGCAGATAATAAATACATACACAGAAGCTGTGCAAATAGTACAACCACATTTAGCTGTTGGAAAATTGCACACTTTATGGGTAGCTTTCGCAAAGTTTTATGAAAAAAATGAACAAATTTCAGATGCTAGAACTATATTTGAAAAAGCAGTACTTGTTCCTTACTTAAAAGTAGATGATTTAGCTTCAGTCTGGTGCGAATGGGCTGAAATGGAAATACGATATGGGTAAATATTCGATTTATTTTTATATACATTTCTCTGTCAATAGTAGCACTAAATATTGTATATTTCATTTAGTTTTAACAAAGATGTATTAAAGCTTATGCATCAAGCTACAGCGATGCCTTCTAGGAAAGTTGCGTATCACGATGAGACTGAAACTGTGCAAATGAGATTATATAGGTCTTTAAAAATTTGGTCCATGTATGCTGATCTTGAAGAAAGTTTTGGAACTTTTAAAGTAACTGAATTTATGAAAATAAATTTTATAATATACTATATACATAAAAATAAATTTGGATATGTTTATGTTTATATTTTATATTTTTATTAATACTACAGACTTGTAAAGCTGTTTATGATAAAATATTAGATTTAAAAATTGCAACTCCTCAAATAATTATAAATTATGGTTTATTTCTCGAAGAAAATAATTACTTTGAAGAAGCTTTTAGAGTAAGTTTTATAGTCAATTAATACATATGTACTATTTTACACGTAAGCAGTCAATAATTATAAAATTTCGTACTCTAGGCTTATGAGAAAGGTATCGCATTATTTAAATGGCCAAACGTTTTTGATATTTGGAATACATATCTTACTAAATTTTTAAAACGTTATGGTGGCTCAAAATTAGAAAGAACTCGTGATTTGTTTGAACAATGCCTTGAACATTGTCCTCGAAAATATGCGAAAGGTAACTTTTTTTATTCAATAATACAATATTTAAATTTTACTTTTTATACTTTACAGCTTTCTATCTTTTATATGCTAAATTAGAAGAAGAGCATGGACTAGCTAGACATGCAATGTCAGTGTATGAACGAGCTACAAATGCTGTTTTACCTGAAGAACAATTTGAAGTAAAATTAATTTTATTTAAAAATATAGAATTAAAATAATTATATATCTGTTATGTTTCTTTTTTAAGATGTTCAATATATATATAAAAAAAGCTGCAGATATTTATGGTGTTCCAAAAACAAGAGAGATTTATGAAAAAGCAATAGATATTTTAAGTGAAGAAAAGACGAGAGAAATGTGTTTACGATTTGCAGAAATGGAAACTAAATTAGGTGAAGTTGATAGAGCTAGAGTAATCTATGCTCACTGTAGTCAAATCAGTGATCCAAGAGTAAGGAGTATATAACCTTTTATACTGTAAAATAATCTAAACAATAAAAATACAACTCATTATTTCCATTCATTTTTAGGTTTCTTGTAGTTTCTGGCAAATATGGAAAGATTTTGAAGTGAGTCATGGCAATGAAGATACAATGCGCGAAATGCTTAGAATAAAGCGAAGTGTGCAGGCTATGTATAATACACAAGTAAATATGATGTCTGCACAAATGCTTAATACTTCTACAAATCAAATAAATGAATCAATAGATGTTATGAAACTTCGAAATAATAAAATTTCTGAAACTGGTACATATATATATACATATATTATGTATTACTGCTTTTAAATTCATATAAACATTTTCATAATAAATTGTTTTTATTAGTTGACATTATTAGATCAACGCAAACAATTAATTTTATTCGTGAAACCATGGAAGAAAGTAATAAATTTGATCTTCGAATTATTAATCCAGATGAAATTAATATTGAAATGAATTCTGATGATGATAATAGTGATATCAATGAAATGGAAGGTTAAGAATTAATTTAATTTTTTAAATATATATAATAGTTTTTTTCAAGTTACTTATTTTATTTTAGATATTCCCATTGAAAAACAAATTATTCCAGTTCAAGTATTTGGTGGTTTAAAAAATGATTAGAAATACTATGAATATGTAAATATTAAATTATTTAATCTATTTAATTTCTATTTTTAACTAAATCACTACATCTTTAATATTCTATAAATAAATTATAAATAATAAGTTTTATTTTATTAAAGCTTTGTATTATAAACAAATAATTTACAAAGTATTCAATTTAATATTATATACTTACTCTTCTAATAATAAGAAAGATTTCCCTAATTTTTAAATCAATTTTTGTTGTAATGAATTATCAATAGCTAATTTTATTACTTTTCAATGTTACATAAATTTAATTTTTTTTAATCAAATTTAAATTGAAATTTGTAACTATACAATTATATAATATATTTTGTAGGTGGATTTATAAAATGCAGATCGTTATACACTTGAGAATCATCAATATCAGTTTCACCTTGTATTGTAACTTGTTTTTTTCTTATACCACCAAATACTATTAGTTCTCCTCTGCCAAGTACTAATGAATAAAGTATTCTTTCATCTGGGCCTGTTTCATTACTTTGTTTAAGAGGGATCCAAGATGCAGAACATTCATCACACAGTATATTGTTTATGTCTAAAATAAATATACCCAATGTATTTTCAGTTTTTTTAACAATTTTAGATTGAGTTTTACGAATTTGAAGTCTTTCTTCCATGCGACGAAGAGATTCTAATTGTTTTTGGCGATTTACTACAGAATTAGTTCGAACTGGTTCATCCCGAAAAGCAGCCATACTTAATGCGCTGTCATATACTGGTAGTGCTATTACATTTGATGAGTTCATAGATGTTGATTGTGAATTACGAGTACTCGATCTTTGGAGATAACCACGACGCCCATTTATATTTTCATCTCTATCAATTTCTTTATAAGACAATTGCCTATAAAATATTTAAAAAATTTCTTATTATTTTCGATAATGTAGTATAAGCTTTAACATATTAAAAACAATGTATAAATAATTTATTTTATTTCATTTTGACTTACATTTAAATAATAAAACATATTTATGTATAATTTACGTTTACATACCTTTCTCGAGACAATAAATTAGAACTATGAGGTAAATTTTCTGGTTTCCCTATTGACATACTCATTCCACTATGTTGTGATTGTCGTTTTTTTTTATTTAAAACTATTATATAATTTCCTACCTTTTAATTATAATTAAATAAGATTGAATTAATCAATTCAGTATTTTAAAAAGTGTTTTTCATTATTACCTTACATGCCTGATGACACCAAATACGAGTAGGTGCTGATTCAGTATGAAACATATTTACTTTCTTCCATGTCCAAATAGGATCTCCCATTGTCAATAACCAAGCATCATTCATTGCAACATTTGGACCTGTACATCCACCTAATAAATAATTTTTATAATGTATTTATAAATTAATTCAAACGCACAATTTATGCAGAAAAACAAAAAAATATTTCTTACCAAGTATGAGTAAATTTCTATGACCTAATGAAATTTGTGATTGACCATAACGAGGCTCCGGTTTTAACGTGGATGTTAGTTGTTTTGTCCAACAATATGTATCCAAATTTAAGCACCACAGATCATTTGAACTTTTATTTTATAAAAATACATTACATTTTTAAACATGAAATAATAGTTATAAAAAAATAAAATGTTTACCTATATCCATTGGCAACACCTCCAAATACAACCATTAGATTTCCATGAATAGAAGCAGAATGTGCTGAGGTAGGAGGAGGTGTTTCCAAAGTATTAATAGCAAACCATCGATTAGATTCAATCAAATAAACATGTAATTCATTGAATAATCTCCATTGCTGAAAATTTTGTAATGATCTAAATAAATTAAAAAAAAAATAAATAATAATTAACTCGATTCATTTTGCTTTACCTGATGTACAGGATATGGAGAAGGATGTGACCAGCCACCAAATAAAATAAAACTTTTTTTATAATTTAACATGGTAGCACAAGCTTTTGGTGATGGGTAGCTTCCCATTGTAATAGGTCGAACCCATTTTCGAGTATCAAGATCAAGTCTCCATAAATCATTAAAAGTTGTACAAGCAGCTGTACATCCACCAAAAACATACATAGAATTATCATAAGTACATGCAGAATGAGAATGCCTTTTTCCAATAGTAGGTATCCATTGGGTAGTATGCCAAGAATTCCAAAATAATGATCCATATGTTATTGACTTTTGAAAATGAGTTTTACTATGTTCAATAACATCTATAATTATTAAATATTTATTATTAAATTACATTAATAACACCAATTACTATTAAAACTTTACTTTTTGTAGCTTGACACCATCTCTTTGAAACAAACATGCACTCCTGTAGATCTTTATATGGTGGTATTAAACTTAAAATATACTCTAATATTTCATCTGGTAAATCATCAATTTTACAGTGCATTGTCAAATATTATAATTTATCTTCTGGTATTACTTTTTACCAAATTCTTCAAAAATCAAAAATTGCTATTCTCGCTCCTCCAACATAACCTAGCATTTAAGGCATATTAAAAATGTTATATTTTCATAAAATAGATTTCTTAAATATATAGAAATAATTAATATATTGATATAAGAGTATTAATATAATTTCGCAAACAATTACTTGGCATACATATTAAAATATTTGCTGTGTTCCTACATAATTTTTTTATCAAATCTTAGATTTCCAAAAAAATAGTAATATAATAATTAGTCATATATTAAATATTATTCGAGATTGGTGATTTATCATGCTTCTTCAAAATATCTATGCAGTCAAATTTGAAAATAATATATATATATATATATATATATAATATAACTTGCGTCAAGTTAGACAATTTTCAAGAATCTACTCACTGATTGCAATATATTTTGTATGCTCGTTTGAATCTTAGTTAAAAGATACTTGATAATCAGATAAAAATTAAGAATTATTATATATGTGAATGTTTTAATAATTAAAAAATTATCAATGCATTGTAATCTAATTCAAAATATTACAATATATATATATATATATATATATATAATAACTGTTTGTAATTATATAATATTTATTATTAATAAAATTGAATATCATAAGATTTTAACAGCTATGTATATTTATATTTTTTATCACAATCACACATACGCATTCGCGAATTGTCATACATGCATGTATCACTGTAAAAAAAGAACATTCATTTTTTAAATAAATGTAGCTATAAATTTTAAAAGACAGGATTTAAAGGTTTCCATACGGTACGAACGTGTGCGTATTAGAATTTTAGTTAAATTTAAACAGATCTGGTGGCAAATAGTGCCACTTTTGTTATGCCATATTGATGATAAGATGTAATTTATATTCGTTTATAATTAATGAACTAGGAAATAGTTGAAAGAAGGATCAAATTGTAAATTTTCAAGAGTATGCTTTCAATACTGTATGTCATTGTCAGCTGTAAATGAGTTTAATATAAATACATTGACAAATGATCATAAGGTACTTTTGAAGATAGAAAGGATCATTGAATCATCACTTCAAATTAACTGAATCGGAATTTTTTAAATATTCATGAAACTCTCAAATTGCAATGATTAAAAAAGAATGCAGTAAGGATTAAATAGTAATAGAAACTTACTTTATTTATGTTTTTCTACTTAGTAATTGTGTGAACAATATGTATCGTTAATATGGTTATATTTGTTTAGAATCCCATTCATTCGGTGGTCGAGGGACCAAGATGACTAGATTAGACTATGTTGCCTGGTGAGGGAAGGAAGTGCAGATAAGAGGAAAGGATAGCGCATTAATTCAATATTTAATATATTTGCTCATCGTGCTGTTTATTCCCTTTTATGTTAGAAACTATACAGTAATAATGATTCTAAGATGCTGTTGAGAATCTGTAAGATCTTGCAGTTCAGTAGTGGTTGCCACGTGGCGTTAGCATGCACTACGTACAGAGGTAGGGGGTCGTGAATCGCGGAATCCTCTTGACGTAGTGTGCTTGGTGGTAAATTTTTACACTGAGAAGTAAGAGGTCGTAAATCTCTGGTACTCCTCCGTGTAGTGCCACATGATGGTAACGTGTTGGGTCTCCTCACTGGAGACGCCTTGTAAGCTGCACGCTTAGTGTCTTATTACCTTTGTGCTAGTTGCACTATTATTAGAAGGCCCTTGTTGGCATTTTGTTGACTTCACGTGATGTCTTGTTGCCTTATACTATTTACACTATTTTTAGAAGGGCCTTACTGGTCTTTCTTTGATACACATTGTCTTATTACCTTTGTGATAGTTGCACTATTAATAGGAGGGCCTTGTTCGCCTTTTGTTGGCTGCACGTGGTGTCTTATTGCCTTGTACTAATTGCACTATTATTAAAAGGGCCTTGTGGTACTCACAGAGATGCAGTTGCCTTGCCTCATCCTGTGATGCCTAGATATTGCGCTTTTTGTAGTAATGTACGTTCTTGTAATGCAGTCAGCACTCTTGACTGCTTTTCAATTGTTGCGCACATGAGACTTGAACGTGTATTACTTATAATGGCTTCACTGTATTGACCTAACTGAGTAACTGGCTTATAGCTGTAAATTCTTGCTGAATGATATAATTACAATGAGCGCTATAATGTTCTTCTTCTCTATATCTGCGCAGCAGCTTACTTAGCTGACAACAACACATAGATGTGCTATGCGAACATCTTGCATGACGTCAGAGATTACAGGTCTAAAATTTTCGAGAATTCCAGGAAGACAAAGCTTTAGAATGTTCGAGAATTCCAACCAATGTTGCTACGCCGAAAATATTGTAGGACATTCGAAAATAAGGCTTAGAATATTCGAGAATTTGCGGAGTCAATGTTTACAAATTCGAAAGACAAAGTCTTGGAAAATGCTTAAATTCCGAACAACATTAAAAAGAAAGATTTAGTTACAATAGTTCTTAAAAAAATATGAACATCGTAATTCAGTTTCACATTCGAGTGTATATGAAGCAGTCGATGGAAAAACTGAGCTGCCATATGGTCTCTCATAGTATATTCTCATAAGTATAGTCACAGAAGACGACCAATAAATCCCAGTATACCCTTTGTAAACCCTTTGTAGCCCTTATGAAACATTGCACAATTATTTACAAAAATGTCTGTAAACTATGTAATCATCGATTAAAGTGAAAAACTTTTATTAATACAGTCATTAAATTGAACAAAAAACTAAATAATTAAGTTAAAATATAATATTACATTGAAATATGTACATTTGATGCTTATAAACGAGTGAAAATTGAATAAATAAAAAATCTAAATTTATTGTCAAATATTTTATTTGTAACTGTTTCTTGTGTATGAATATAACACTGTTTTACACATAGTTTGTAATATATATTATGTACAATATTTGTAATATTGTAATGATAATTGTAAAAGTCAATTAATCATCTGAAAATATTAATGATATTAGATCTTTAGTGCTCAATTATTGGTAGTATATTCCATATTCATTATAAATTGGTATTTATCATGGTAATTTTAACATTTAAATATTGATTTTATAGTGGTATTATTATTAATTAAAAAGTATGTATTAGGTATATAACAAAAAATAATAGGATCTTATTTTGTGAATATTAGAAAAGCAGTAATATTAGTTATTGATAATATAAACGTGAAAAAATTTATTACAATTACGAATTAAATTTGAACTTATTACTAGAACAAATAATAATTTTGTATATATAATTGTTTAGAAATGGTACAATTGTAAATAAAAAATAATTTAAAATATGTATATGATGTACTGGACTGTGATCATTACATATCTAGGAATAACAAATAGATTATACCATAGAAAATGTTAATTTAAAATTCATTGCATTAATTCATTCGTTGAAGGTGAATAAGAAATATTTATTTGTTTTAATACCATTATTAACCTCTGCTATAAAACTTATTAGAAGAATATAAATCTTCAAAATTTGAAATAAAATTTTTTTAATTCATTCATTAACTGTATTTCCAATGTATAATTTTGAATATATTATAAAAATTGGTGTTTTTAACTATAATAAGAAAAATTATTTTTGTAATAACTATATATGAACACTTAATATTCAATTTTAGAAAATATTAATAATTATTAATTCTAACTTATTGCTATAACAAAATTATGCAACCATTTTTATTGAATTTTATTAGTTAATTAATAAAATATAGCAAAATTATAATCATAATTTAAGCATATACATATATGCACGTTGAATTTTTATCTAATTTATATATCCATTTACAACGCATAATATTTTCAACATATACAAAGAATATACAAAGAAAATTATATAAAACATGTAATGATTAAAGGCTTGTGTAAAAATTTCTATATATCATTAAGTATTGTTCATTCGCACTTATATTAATAATTTAAGTAATAATATATCCAAAATAATTATATTCTTGAATTCGATATAAAAATAGTATCCGTTAGATGCAACGTTTTTTGAAAGTACTTATTCTATTCATCTTCTTCCATCTTTATCTTCACTCTCTCTTATTCCTTTTATGGCTCATGTCTATGCTAATGATATGGCCACTTTTACGTTGTTCTTTTTCTCTCTATACATTCTGTTTCTTTTCTTTTGTATTGCTCCTTTACACAATGCATTTGTACATCACTTTATTCATATTAATGCTTTTTTCTATTACTTTATGTTGTCACCTTTTCATATTTTCTTATTTCTTCATATACTTGACCATTTATCTCTAAAGATTTAATTGTAGTTTAATTCACTTCCATTTATTCATGATTTCAAATCGTGTTTATATATTTACGTGTAAATAAGAAAACTTATATTTAATAGTAGAATTAAAATAATGGAAATAATTTTTTGGTAAAAGAAAGAATATTTATAAATCAGTGAAAATAAGAGACCATATATTTTCTTTAAATTGACCATAAATATTCTTCAATTTATGAACTTAAGATTATCATAAAAATAAACGAATAATAAAAAATTAATTGCTTATGATTCTATTATGTATATACTATATTTAATAATATTATATTCTCAAAGACAATACTTCTAATTGCATAAAAATTTTAAAACTTACGTACCAATTTTATTTTTATATTAAAATAATTGTATATTTCAAAAAGTATTTACAATTATGATTAATATTATCATTTGTTATCAATTAAATCAACTAAATCAACTAATGAGGAATACACGAAAGAATATAATTTTATTACATATATTGTTCTCAATCTATTCATGCAACTATATCTCAATATTTAAGCATATTAAATTGCATTTAGAAGTTCAGTAAAAGATAATTGATTACTAATAAGACAGCAATTATTTTGTATCTATTGTAATATTTTATTTAACATTATTTTAATACACTCCATTTTAATTTTGTACAAATCACATAATATGCATTGTTTATATTAAAAAATTAAAAGTAAATAATTTTATTATTGAATAAATTTATGTAAAAATAAATAATAAAAATTTATATTCTACAATTTCATATTTTTGTGTTTATATTAAATTTAAAACTTAGAATTGGTGATTTTTAAATATAATAAAAGTGTTGACTTTCTAATTAAAAATTGCAATATTGTCATACAATATTAAAACTAATTAAAGAAAAAGTATGAATATAAAATTAGTAGATATAAATAAATAATTATATTAATTGTTTTTAATTATTATTTAAAATTTTATGATTTTTAAATTGTAGATGGATAAAATAAAAATTTATTGATCTTTTGTACATATTAGAATATTTATGATTACTAAGTCTTACAAATATTTTATGTATGACTGAAGAATTAATGATACAGGAAATTATTTAATGTATTAAGCATCTATCTTATTTAATAAAATAAGCTAATTAAATTTAATATGTTACTATTTATATAAACTTGAAATTTTAAATTAAAATAATCGATTTTTAAAATATTATTCTTAATAAAAAATATTAAAAAACAAATACATAATTTATGTAATCTATATTTTAAATAATAAATTTCGTGTATTAATTAATTTAATTAATGATTGAATTGTAAAGTGTAAGGTAATTATGTTATCTAATTTATATAATAAAAAACTTTTTAAAAATTAATTTATAAATACATTATAATAAGTATATAAAAACAAGTATTATAATATTTCGACAATATCATTAAAAACAAATACGGTTTCTTAGTTATTTAAAAGATTTATAAATTGATATATTCATGAAATAATTATACATATTCAATGTGGTATTCTTGAATAAATATTTAAACCATTAATCAATCAACTTATCAAAATATTCATGAATTTCGTATAAACATTTATATAAAGCCATAATTTAGTATTTGCAATTAGTCATACTTATATATTATAGTTTATTACTGGAGTAATAGAATAGTTATTGATTTAAAGCTTAATTCCATTTGAAATCAATAATAAATATGTACATTTGTCGATAACTTAACTTTCTAAAGAAAGCCTTTGGTTAATATTTTCTACATGTATCTTCATTTCTCTAAGTATGTCTTCAGCAAGATTATCCACATTTGTGTATCTAACTTTGAATAAATTAAAGATATCAATTAAAAATTCAATTATTTGTTCCCTAAAATAATAACAATTAGATCGCAAACTACTCTCTGGACCTAAAAAACCCCAAATTAATACAGGAGTAACTTGTTCTGAAATTGAATAAAAATGCGCCATAAATCCTTTTGAGTATTTAAGCATTTGTCTTTTACCCATTAGTACTGACCACACTGCTGTACCAATCGCCTAAGAACAAAAAATATCTTTTAATATAACAGATAATATGGACCAAAATATTTTAAAAATATTACTATACCGTTTCTCGGAAACTTGCTGATATCCATCTATTATGAAGTATTGCCTTTATAGAAGATGGTGGTTTTTCAACTTCTTCAAATGCATCCAATAATACAAAATCTATTACTACGTCATAAAAATTAATATACTTCACTCCTCGCATACCTAATTCTTCTTCCATAATAAGAAGATTGGTGTCTTTGCTAAGAAACTCAAGCATTTTCTCATAGTGCACCAAATATTCTTTTGGATCCTAAAATTAAATATTGATTTAAAGTATATCAATTCATTTATGATATTGTTTATAATTAACACAAATGACATACTCTATCAGCAAAAATAATTAAATCGCTTATTAGTTGTCGACCAACATCAGCAACCCATGCTGATGCACCTGGTAGACTAAAGAGTCGAGAAAATGCTTGACGTAAACAATGTACTTTGGCTAAATATTCTACATCTGATCCACATTTAACTAAATCAGTATGCAATCTTCTGAAAGTTTTGCATTAAAGTTATTTTAATTATAAGTTCAAACATAAAAGATTAAGTTAAATTTATACGTACTTATCTAATCCGTTTTTACTCATCCTGAAAAATAATAAAAATGTTTTAAATCAAAATAGAAATTACATAACAATAAATATATTTACTGTAAGTCACTGTGGACTTATGTATCTTACAAACATAATATTAAATAATAAAATCAGGATAAATAACAAATGTAATTTTTTTAACTTTAAGTGGAATAATTTTTTATATAAATGTTTAGTTTGTTTATACATATTTTTTATATAATCTATAAATTAATTCAATTACATTTATTTTTTATCAAATTCAATTATTACTTAAGCAAATATATAAATATAAATATTTTATGTAATAACTTGAGAGAACAATAAGATGATAAAAGATGAGTAAATCAACACTAAAATGTTTATAAATACTTATAAATAAAAAACTTAATTGAAAGTGTGTTTTTATTATACATCTGTAAGAAATTAATTTTTAAGGATTTATAAACAATATAAAATACATTTATTTCTCTTACACATCTTCACTTTGGCTCTCGGAAAATATTATCTTTTTGGTGTCCTTGGTAGACATTGCATTACCTCTATTTGGGGTTATTTTTAATCGATTAGTATTTCTAATATTTTTATTAATAACATGATATTGAGTACGCTTCTTAAAAAAAAAAGTAATTTTTAATGTCTTGGAAATTGATTTTTTAAAACTTATATAATTAGTTTTATTTGTTACTTAGGTTTGCTATCTTTACAGCGTGTGATAATATGCTGAACTATATCATGTTTATACTTTTCTTCTTCTAAACATTATATATTTTTATAGACTTCATATATTATTCCTAATCATTAAATAATATATTATTAATTCTATTCATAGTTATATATATGCATGTGTGCACACATATTCAAATGTAATATTGGAATAATATGTATGGTAAATTATGTAATTTCAAACAAAAAATTTGAATCTTACATTTGAAAATATTTGAAATTAAGATTTGACTTTTACCTTATTATTTCTACTACATTAAATTTTTAATAAAACAATATATACGTTTTTAAAGATTTTTATTAATATTTTTATTATCATTATATGTTTAATAATGTCTAATTAAACATTCTGATATTTTAGTAGATATAGGCAATAATTTAAACATAGAAATAATATAAATAAACAAAAATTAAATTCAAATTGAAATAATGTAACTTAGAAATTTTTAAAGGCTTTCTTAATTCACAAATTTCTATAATTGTTGGTAAACTAAGTTAAAATATTAAAATAATATGTATTTATTCATGATTATGAAATAATGCACATATAGTTAAGTACTTTTTAATATAAAATAAATTTACTATACTTTTGAAGTATATCAAACTTCTTACAATTTATTTATGTATCCATTTATATAAACATTTCCAGGCTACAATTAAGAAAAATATACTAATAGACTCAGGTACACGCTTAATTATTTCGAAATTCACTCACTATGCAAATGAAAACATCCTCCGATTTCAGACAAATATCACAGTAGTGCAATAAACATAAAGATGAAATATTTAGATACTCTATTGCAAATTCATATTCTTGATGTTTTGGTTACATTAAACTTGGTGTTATATTTATATTAATCTAGACATCTCAATATAATATAATATGTATTAATCAAATTCAAAATTACAATTCCAAAATTATTAATTCTAATAGATTTACCTGCATGAAATTCCTTTATCCTCATGTTGTTTTAACGCTGCATGATAAAGTTTTTGCTGTTCAAAATGAGGGAAGTATTCTGAAAATTCTTCAAATTCTCGCAAATCTGCTACCTGTAAAGATATTTTCTAATTAATCATAAAATAATAAAAATAAGTATAGGATAAAAAATACATACGCCATCTTTTGCAGATACATAAGATTCAGGAGATGATGTAGGATCTTTACTCATAGATAATGTAGGTCCCACAGTTGAAAGCTTGTGACTTTCTTCACTTTCATTTTCATTACGGAATAGTACAGAATGCTATCACGTACAAATATTTTAGATTAGTTATTTAATTCTATTTATAATAATTATTTTATAATTAAATAACCATATTATGATATTATATAAAATTAGTTAAAATACAATATCTAAATTATATAAAATTCTAACTTACAGGACAACATTAATTTTGTTTGTATATTTTACAAAGATACATAATATCCGGAGTTTAATCATTATCATTAATGTACATAATTTATCAATGTATAATATACGAAGAAAATATATAAAATACGTTAAAAATATAACAATAAGTTTATATTTTCTTTTCTTTTATATATAGTCTATATTTACTTTTTAGTATTTTATTGATTTCTATTAAAATAAAATTTTTTACATATTATTGGTGATCATCATTTTTGGTTATCATACCATATATCAATTTCTATAATCATAAAGGCATGTATAAACACAATACTAATCAATTTTTAATAAAAAAAGTATCATGCAATAAATGAGATATGCTTTATGGATAATGTTTTTGAATAATTATTAATTTATATATTACTTTCTTCAATGCAAAATACTTGATACATATATTCTAATACTAGATTCTTGATATATCTTCATGTATGGTAGACAATATACAGTTTGTAATTATGCATTAAGTAACTTCTATATAATACATTAACAAAATTTATCAGTATAATTTACAAAGGATAACCATTTACAAAATATAATTTTATTTAAAATATTTTTCAATTTATTATCTCATAATAAAATTACAATAATTATTATTTAATTAATAGCTTTTATTTTCCCTTATAAAAATGCATGCAAAGTTTTACAGAAATAAATTGAAGTACAAATTATATCATAAAAAACTATATGCTTTTCAATTTAATTAATATATTTGTATTAAAATTTCCCATATTTTAAATCATTACATAATAATTATTAATAAGATATAAATTAATGAAATTATAAAAGCTAATTTTTATTAAATAAAAATTTTTAAATATATACTTCTACCTGATCTATAAAAAGCAGTTCAGCATTGTTTTGTATTTGATAACCTAAATCAAGCAGTTCTTGTACATCTCGCGTAAAAGCAGCATCGGCATTCGAAGGCAATACTATGGTATCATTATTGAGCTCTGAGCTAAATGCTGTAAGCGCATCTTCCCAACAGTATAGAGCCTTTTCCAATGCTTCCAAACCTGGAATATTAAATGCATTTATTTATTGAAGTCACAGATACACTTATTTAAGTATTGTCAATATACTTGTAAATATAAATTAAATAATATAAATATTAATTTATTGTCTTGTAGAACATTTATTCATATTTAACATGCAATGATTTGCAGGAAATGAACAATGAAGTCAGGAAATGAATGATTTATAGAGCAAGTCTTCAAAGAAATCAGTACAACGAAATATATTTAAATACAAGTTGGTATCAATAATCTGGAAAGAGCATTCAGAGCAAGAAGATAAATGATGCTGATCATTATTTATTCATTAAGAGTATATATAATATAATATTTTAAATAAAAAACATTTTTTTCTCAAAACTGTATTTTTAAAATTAAATACTCACGCATTATCGGTTTTCAAATAAAACAAAACAATTAAAGAAACAATTTATGATTTAATTAGCATTGATAATTTATAGGAATTATAAAATAATATATTATTTTTATTTGTCCTTTTAACTTTAATTTTTTATTTTCCAAGATTTCTAATTAATTACTTAGAAAATCATGATAGTCAATAAGAAAACTAATTATATATATTTATATATATACACAAACATGTAATTTATGAAAGGTAAAAACAACTTTGTAAAAAGGATTCTGATATTTGCACGTTTTATATAAAATAGAAATATTAAATACAACTCGTCTGAATTATTGAGTAAATTGTATTCAGTTTAGTGTTATGTGTTTGCACTATATATATATACATTTATTGTTAACTAAACCAGGTAAGTATAAAACTTTAAAATAATATATTTACAAATGTGCACAAAAAAAGTTTAAATATTTAAACGTTTTCTTTTTTAACTATGATAAATGCACTTCTTAATTTTAAAACTTATAATCGTAATTATATCTCGTGCACTAATAAAAACAAGGCGTAAAATGTTGTGGTTGTTTATATATATAGTAGAATAATTAATTCAAAATTAAAATATAGTATTATTATTACACGAAAATGTATTTTGTTCGAAATTTATAAGAAAATTTCAGAAGTTTTAAAAATTTAGTTTACATAATATATTCAATAAATTTTAAATACAACAATATATTATAACATTTTGTTATACTAAGCAATTTATTTAAAATATAATTACAATTGCACAAGCTGAAATAAACTCCTAATGTTTGTTAAACTCTGTACTTGCTTAGCTTATAATGCTTCTATTGTTAAATTTGAAATAAGACATGCACAATTATTTTTATTTAATAAGGTGGGAAACATTTATAAAAACTATAATGTTTATGTTACATGTGTACAAATTATATTTGAATAACATCTAATTATTATATAAATATTAATATCTTATTTAATGTTAAAAATAAAACTTTAATGAATATTGTCTAATACATAAAAAATATATAGACTACATAAATTTAATTATTTTTAAGTAGGTATTTAAATAATTTTGTTTTTTAAATGTTTTCCAGTATTTATTATTAGTGTTAAAATAAAATAAAGTATAAATATTTCATTTGGTTCTTTCTTTCGTTCTTTCTTTCAGTAAATAATTTCTTACTTTAAAAATGTCTATTAAAATCCTATTAAAATTATCAGTCAAAAAAAATTCTATAAAAAAAATATTCTATTGAAGGATATTTTATAATTTATCACAAAAATATTAAATGCAATATTTTAAAAATAATATATCTCTTATCATATATGTACTATATATGTTTTTAGGATATTAAAAATGGATCATTGACACCATAAATAATGAGCTTTAATGGTTGAATGATTAGTAATGAATAATCGTTAATTCTTTTTCTATCACATATATGTAGTTCATCATTTATTTAAATACATGGATATTTAAAAAATGATTAGATGTATTCAATATTAATAAACACGCATGTTAATATTTTAAATATTTCATATATTTTTATATATTAAAATTACACATAAAAATAATTACTGTTATTTACTTTATTAAACACTTTATTTACTTCTTAGAAGTGTTTGAATGAAACTTAAATTTTTTATAGAAAAAAATAATTAACTTATTTAATATTTTAAATTTAAGTATATGTATTTAAGAAAAAGTTTTCTTTTAGAGTATTTGGAATAATATAACAATGCTTTTTTCTAAATGTATCAATAAATGTAGAATTGCTTCTAATACTACCCAAGATAATAATTGATTCAGTTTGATTTAAATTTATATAGCATAAAATTTGTATACTTTTATGTTATATCTTTACAAATCATAAAATTCTTTTTTTCAAAGATTTGCTTTAAAAATTTGGTAAGTATTAGTCTTCCTTTGTATACTTCTGCTTTTGAATATGTATTTAGCAAAAAATACTAAACTTAATTTTCAAATTCAATTTTCAAATATTGATTTTTATTATTTCTGAATAAGTTAATCCTATTAATAGAATAAACTATTTTAAATTACAATTAATAGTATATTTTCTGTTTACAAATAAAATAGTGAAAATTAAATATTGCGTTGCGACTAAAATTTATTACTACTTATAGATAAATTCTCGCATAAACTTTAATCAAGCTCTAATAGAATATATAAATTTCTGTTTAAGATATGAATATAAAACAAAATACAATATATTCCTTTATAAAAATTAAAAAACTAATGCCTAATATTTTTTAAATAAAAGAAAAAAATATTTGTTAACAAGGAATATCTAGCAATATTTTTCCAAATATACTGTATACAGAAAACTTATAATTAAAATAATAATCAAATATAACCTCTATATTGATTTATTTGTAAATATATATAAAATTAATATTAAAACGTAATTTGTATTTACCTACTTTAAGGTAATTTAAGTTAATAAGACAGGCACACTTTTAGAAAGGCATTCTACCCTTGTATATTTTCTAAGATCATTCTTTAATTAATCTGTATAAATATTTTAATATGTACATATGCATAATTGTCTGAGTGCCAATGCAATTTTATATTTTTCTCAACATATTATCATTATTATTATTACTCATATAGTATATTTTAATGAGTAAGCAAGAATAAATAAAAAAAAAATATACAATTAAAGTTAACATATAATATATTTTCGTTATTTAAATACAGTACTATATTGATATTTAAATTCAATTTTTTTAATGATGTAAATTATTATAAATTTAAAAATTTTTTAAAATAACGAGGTGAAATAATTATATTAAATATATGTTCTCTAAAAAAATACCACAATTCTCTATTTTATTTCTATCGTTCTTAATTCATAGAATTGAAGTATAACTAAAGTAATACAATTAACGTCATACTAAAACACATATTTTTTAAAGAATTATATTATTATATATTGAAATTAAAAATTAGTAACTTGAAAAATGATTGATTTTGGTATTTCATTAAAAGTTTAATATTTGCTTACGATTAATTTTATTATATACAGATTTTAAAAACTGATAATTATTGGTTAGATCATTAAAAATTTAAAGTTTTAATTTAAGAGTAAACTATAAAGATTAAATTATTTACAAATTTATTTTTAAATTTTATTAATAAAATTAATCAATTTTACAATTTTTCTCAATATATTCTTTAATTGATATAAAATTATATACTTTTACTGTTTGATTAGATTTTTTTCAGTATTTTAATATACGTTTCGTATTCGTTTATATTGTTATATAGGCAGACTCTTAATAGTCACGAAAATCGAATCTACCAGAGTGCGCGCGCTTCTCTCCCCTTGCGCCGATTCGTACATTTACTTGCTCATATTCTCTTTTTCTCTGTTTCTTTGCCTCATTGGCTATTGCGATCTATTTTTTTAGTAGAGCTCAAACTTTATTTTGTGTTCAACTAGATTAGGCGCGAATCAGGAGAAACCAGAGTGAGTCAAGAATAAAAAGCGAAATATACTTATTCATAAATATAAACATGTATATTTTATTGTACTATGCAGATACGTATTATAGAAAAAGACGGTTAATCCCTTCCTTTACTTCGTCTCGGTACACGTCGTTACTGTTTGTTGAATGCTAGCTTATGATCAACTTGGCGTCAGTCACTCAGTAGTTTATGCAGTGATAACTAGTTTAATAAGTTGAACGGACTAAATTGTGATACATTCAAGAGTAGTCATACTATAATCTATAGCAGAATAAGCTGTGATGCAGCGTACGTAAAAAATGACAGCATGAGAGAAAGAAAAAGTATGTATAGTAGAATATATAAACATCCCTTCATGAAATTAAATCACTTTACCAAGTGCATCTTTTTTGAGACCACAAAACAAAAACAGCTAGTTGAGAAAAAGCATTCTATTTTCCGATATACACAAATATAGAATTAAACAATTGATATATGGTATAGCAATGTTGCCTGCGTGAGTGCGTGTATGCAAGTGTGTGCAAAAGTGTGCGTGACTAGTAAGAAAGAGTAATAAAAATAGCCATCATTCTTAGTATTTGATTAGGAGAAAAGATCCTGAGGAAATCTTACGAAAAACGCGACCAAAAAAGAAAAAAATTAATATTAAATTGCCGTAATCTGTATAAGTAATGTAAGTATAGATTGTGTGCTTGCAACAATTTGTACACACAATTCGAGGAAGATAATTTTTCATATTTCGTGTTATGTTTGTATATTTTGGACCTATTATGAAAAGCTAGATGAAAAATAAAGGTGTTATTTAATTTCTCACATTTTTAACGCATTTTTTATTTTATGATTATATGCATGTGTCAAGATCATGGTAACATTTCGATAAATAGATATTTTTACTTCATAATATAATTATAATGTAATAACTTTTTTTACAAATTATTATCATTATTTACTGAAAAATATATAAAATTAACATTTCATAATTTAATATTGTGGGTTTAATAAATACTTAAATATTTCGTTTTACACAAATGTTGAATAACAAATATATATATATATATATATATATATATATATATATTCATATCGAGATTTATATTTTTATGATAAACATTGAGGAAATTGAATTAGGCTAATATTTTATCTATGCAGCCTTGTACAATTCATGAATAAGTAACATATAATAGTAAATTTTATATTACAAAACTAATAAAATAGTATATGAAAATTCTTTAATTAATCATATTATATATAGTTTAAGGATATGAACTATGCAGATAAAATAGATAATATATTTTAAAAGAAATTTTAATGAAAATCTAAATATAACAAATATTTTTAAGCGCACGTATAAATAATAACATTGCTAATTTTTAGGAATAAGAGAATTATTGTTTCATAGAGAAAGGTCTAATTATATGCAATTATACACTTGATATTTTTTTAATCAAATGACACCAAATTTTGCATATGCGTAGACGTATTTATAATGTATATTCCATTTTGATTGTGCTTATTCTTTCAATTTTTTTATTTTAGCTATTTTAACGTGCGTATAATATTAATTGGTAATTTTTATCGATAATTTCTATGTAATAATATCGGTATTGGGAATATACCATGATATAAGAAAAATAAAAGATTAAAATTAAGATAAATTATAAAAGAATATAGATATTAAAAAAAAAATTTTGAGGTGTTAGTAGCTAAAGAACGATGTTGCATTAACTAACAAACTAGCGATTCTATTTTCTCATTTTTTCATAGGCATTACAATTAATTATATTTCCAAAAAAATTTCACATATGTTCAATTTTGAATTATAATAATGTGTTAATAAATACAGTTGTGGCACTGTATTATTTTTATCGATTAATATCAATTAAAATCCTTATATATATATATATATATAATTTTTAAAACACTATATATCTAAATAAATTAACTAATAATTAGCATAACATAGTATTAAAATATTTCTCATATTTAACTGAAAATGTTATATCACTTTATAGGAGTAATTAAATATAATTATTTTACATTAATATAGAATACAAGAATAAAAGACTAATAATTTCTTAAAGTATAGATGATAGGAGATATATTTGTCGAAGTAATAAATGTTATCTATAAGAATTTATTCAATTTTATTATTTTAAATACTATTAATATAAATATAATAAAACTTTTAGAATAGGTTCTGCTATATATTTATTACATTGAACTCTTCTCTTGGGATTAAATATGAACATAAATATATATAAAATCTCAAAACTTTAACCAAAAATTTAAATAAAATCATATTTAAAAATCAATTTTCAACTTAAATCTACAATGTTACTCTATTTTATTAATTTTATTACTTTTAGTTTTTTTACGTTCAAAATATTTTGAATAAAAAACAAAATTTTGAATTATATTTATATATTTTATTGTAAGACATAATTTACAATTTTTATTTGACCGAAACCAAATATTTATTTTACAATTATTTTCTGCATAATAATTTATTTAAACTATATTTGTTCAATTTTATAATATATATAATTTTATAATATATTATAACGTAAAACAGGAATTAAATTTGTACAGTTTGCTCTAGACATTCATAAATCGTTCGATACTAAAATGTTCTTAGCTTGAAAATTAAATAAATTAATGTATTAAAACACTGGTTTTAATAAGTTTTCAAGTTCCTTTATTTGATCAAAATATTTTTGAAAGAAATTTAATAATTTTTTTAATATTGGAAGAAATAAAAGTATATGTTACTAAATTATATTTTGTTATAAATAATAATTGTAAAAAATATGTTTAAAATTTACAAATTACTTTAAAGTTCCATTATTTAGAAATATTTTTTTTTCTATGATACAGAGTTATAGGTATATTTATAGATAAAAAAGAAAAATACGATCATTATTTATTAGAAACCAATAAAATATTGAAAATGTCAATTTCAAAATTAAAATTTGGTCGAATATAAGAATGTATATGTACATAAAAATAGAGAATATATCTGATATAAATCTTAAAGCATATAATAAAGATAAAAAAATCGACATATTTTCCGGCTTCAAAAATTAAAAATATTTAGTAAAGCCATTGTGTTGTGTAAAGTTGAATTTAATAATGCACATAAATCGTTAAAAATTAACTATTTATATTAATTAAAAGTAACAAGGTTGAACTAGTCCTTTAAATATTAACTTTCGATAATCATAAGGTCTTAAGATCATAATAATAATATGTTCTTTACAAATTTTCCTAAGTTATTTTTTCAATATAATGTGGCAATTAATCTAATTTGACTTAATTTACATTTAAACGTAGGAATAAATATATACAGAAACATACATCATTTTTTCCAGAATTAAGTTTTCAAAAATGTAAATATGAAATCCATATAAAAAAAATAGTTTAAACAAAGCATGACGTTTTTAAAAATATTTTAAAATTCAATTTATAATATTAGATTTAATTTTCTATTTAGTACATACCAATAATGATATTTAATTTATTAATTACAATTTATATGGTATATATTACATATTATATGTATAGAAAAAATATGCAATATCAAACAGAACTTTGAATATTAAAAAATAATAAAAAATTCATATTAAAACATAGTTTATTATTATTATTATTATTATTAATATATATTCATTATTGGAATTTATATTAATATGTAAATAAAAAATATCCACGTATTTTACAAATTTAATATAAAATTTCTCTTATTTACGTCAAACAATTCTATTTGTTTAAAAAATTGACTGAAATGCAAAAAATACACTGACAGATTTAACCTTGTTATGTAATATAATATCCCAGTATTTTTTCCAATTACCTACTACTATTATTTGCACTTACAAATGCATACGAAATGCATGTAAGTCTATAAAACATTACTATCAATACATTTATTGAGATATACGTAATGTAAATTGACGGTTTTTTGTCGCAAGTATATTACAGTCTCGTTTATGTAATAAAATTTCTAATGCCATAATTAGCAATAAAAAGTATTTAAAAAGTAGAATCGTGTGCATGACTCCTTATAAATATTGAGTTTTAATTTTTCATGTATAATACACTAAAACTTTTTATTTATGTTTCATATTTATTAATATACTTGATGATAAAGTAATTTAAATATAATATAGTGAATAATTCATATGATCAGTTCAAATACTATAACGATTCATGATTTCATTCATAATATTGAATAATATGAAAATAAAAGTCAAAGTAATTTTATATTCTCGTAGTTATACTTTTAACAGCCGCTTTATTATGTACATTAAATGAAAAATATTCTACATTGATTTGTTGAGCATAATAGAAAATTTATGTGATGTTCAATATGTGAATCTTCTGCAATTGCTAATGTCGTACTCTTTTATTTTGTAATTAAAAACATATCTGAAACATAATGAATTTCATAAATGTAACCTTTTCATTCTTTCTAATTAACCCAACATTTTGTTATCCGTAAAATGCGAGAACTATTTAGGTAACTTTTACAAAAATTTGAATATCTTTTTTATTTCAATTTATTCTTCATAGAATTTCTGGTAACTGTATATGTATTGTTAAACATTATTATGATTAATTTTTCTTTTACCTATGTATTATTATATATATATTATAGTATAACTCCTCCGTCTTTACATTTTATGAACTAATTTCCTACAAACTAAATGTATATTGATATAATAAAATTATTTAATAATCTATATAACATATACGGTATTTGCAAGATATATAACATAATAAATTTCATATTCAAAATATTTAATTGCATGTGTATATATATATATATATATATAAATAAATGTTAATCACTATGAAAGAAATATAATACAACAAAACTGCGAAATAAATTACAATGTAATTTCTTACTTATGATAAATGTTAGTATAATTAAATATAATAAAATAAAATAAAAAACTGATATAATAATCTATTATCTTATGGAGAGTGATATTTTGAATCTTTCATTTTTTTATTTTTAATTTAATTTTGATGTATTTACATAAAACAATAACATATTAATAATAAAAATTTTCTTGTAATTAAAAAATGAAAGGTTTAAACTCTACAATCGTGTTCCTTATTTACAAATCGTTAATTAATATATTTACTAATTTAATGTTCAAATTTTCAAGTGCAAATGTGTGTTTAATATGTATACATATATTAACAAATCATTTTCATTCTAAAAACATGAAGCCTGTATTTTTCCTTTCAAATTGAAATTTATACTTAATGTGTAATAATATACAAGTTAATTAAATAAAGTTATTAACAAATGAGATAATCAAGAATACTTGAAAAAAAGAAATTCAATAATGTATGAGTCTGCTATAAAATTAAAAAAATATGTAAATTATTTTGGATAGATGCGTTACTAAAAATGTTTTATACTTCTAAAAATAATCATTGCGCATAATTTTTTTAAAGTTCATCACATAACAATATATTAATGATTAAAAATTACAAAGCTAAATTAAACTTTGATGTACCAACTGTTTCGAATTAGTTGTTTATTTTTTAATTGTCGCGTAAAAATAAAATGCAACTTTATTACAATTCTAACTATACTTTTATATAAGAATATTAATTATTTTATGCGATCTGGATTTAAGTGACACTGATGAGTACCCTAAAGTATAATACTTTAATTTGTTTCATGACATTTTCAATCTTGATTAGTGTTAGTTATATTATCGTACATAGTGTGTAAATATAAAAAATTTTTTCAAAAATAAAAATAAAAATAAAAATTTTATATATAAATAAAAACATTTTATTTTGGTTCTTTTAAATAACTTTTGCATATTGATGTAAAAAGAAATTTAGGCATTTATAAGTAACCATAGTAATTCATTTAATTGTTTAGATTTTGTCAATTTTGGTATTTAAAATAAATACAGCAACAAGAGACAAAGATGACCTTCTACTACTATGTAAGTTAATTAGTGTGTAAGTAATAGTAATATCTTATTAACTGTTTTTTATCTTTTCTATTATAAATATCTATGAAATGTTGAATTTTTCATAAATTTATTCATTTTTCTGATTCCACACTAAATTTGCTACATTTTAATATTATTAGACAGAATATAAAAGAAAAGTTTAACTACTTATTTTCTAAGATGTAAAAAATAGATTGTTAAACAATAATTTTGAATTTATATTTTGGACAATTGTTTTATATTTTACTTATAAAAGTGTAAAAATAAATATAATACATATTATATCATAATTTATAAAAATATTTATACTTAGAAATTACCCATGTGCATTTTTCAGCATTTGAATACAATCTAACATAAATATGGATAACTACATTTATATTAAGATAATACCTTGTAGTATAAACATATATTCAATTTATAAAATTAAAGTTCCTTAAGTATTTGAAAATATAATTTACGCATGCAAATTCTGGACTTTAAAGACTTAGTTAAGCTTTGAACATATTTTTCTATATAAAATTTTTCATACAATCGTTTGTCTTACGCGGTTTTAAATACGACATATCTTTCATTGTATATATTAATTTACATTATATACATTTTATTTATATCTTAATGATATTTACTTCCAGTTATGAATTTAATTTCAATTTTATATGCAAAATAGGATTCAATAAATATTAAAATAGTAATTTTAATAAGATAAATATTTTTATTCATTGACTAATTATAGTAAAAATGATAAACATTTATAATATAAACTTCTTAAAATAAAAAATTCGTATTAATCACATCTTTAACAATATTACTTAACTCCTTTTTTAAAATGATATATCTTATTTACTATTACAATTTCAATGTTTATTGAATCATGGTTCTAGTCCATTTTAATATGCAATTCTATATTTCTGTTTTAATTTTCGTGAATAGTTGTAAATTTCTTGGTCTTCATATACTTTGATATTGTTCATATACTATAACTTTTCATGATGTTATTGTCCTTTATTGATACTTTATTTTTTCGTTAAATACTTACAAAATGGTTAATATCTTTTAATCATAATAATAATTAATAAGACCCTTTTAATTGATGTCTGTATATTTAATGATTGTATTGAAGCATTTGTCAGGGTATTTGATTTACCTATTCGTTGTTTTCAAGAACATAGCACTGGATCAAAGTTTCATTTATTATCACAGATCGGCATGTATCTGATTTGAATTATATTGGAAAAACTTCAACCATATTAAAATCATCATGTTATTGTTTTTTATAAATTTTTAGAGAACGTTGTATTCATCTACTAATTTATTATGTAATTGAATAAATATTGATGAACATTAAAAATTACTTTGAGTTTTTCAAAATCAATTTATTTGATTTTACTTTTATAATAGTCATTGAAATTGTTTAATATATATATTTTACTTGAATTCAAGGTGAAATTCAATGATTTTATTAATTATACATTTTAAAAATATAATTTAATTATTTTCGAGATTTATTATATATTTTTTATTAAATAGATAATTATTTTATTTAAATATTTTTATATTTCTGACCGTTTTATTATTTGTGATATAATTAATCTTTATAATGAAATATGGATACAAATTTACTGATTTTATTAAGTAATTTAATGATATTTATATTGATAATTAACTGAAGCTATTAATTAGAATTTTGTTAAATATATTACCATGAATATTTACAATAGATATGCTTATGTAAGATATGTAGTAGCTTATAATTCACGCATATTATTTTTGATAAATTTAGTTTTGGTCCAAATATTGTATACCCGCTTCATGCTTATTTCTCTCTCTCACACACACACGCACACACATATATATATGTATAAATTATTTTGTTTTGCAGATGATATTTTTCGTCTTGTATTTTAGTAGCTTGCTACTTTTCGTTAAACCCGATACCAGTGTTCATATTCTATCAGAACAGTACGGAAATGGACAACTTATTACTTCTAGTACATTGAATTGGATACCAGATTTGCGTTACAGTGCTTCAAAAGAATTTGTTATCGGAGGCTTTGAAATTATTGAGTATTCATCAGGTATGCATACCATTCTATCGATTATAAAGTACAATTATTATTCAGATTTTTTTATATTCAATGAAGCAATGATATAAATCTATAGAATATTTAAATTTTTTTTATAAATTTTACTATATGATTTTCAACATTTATATTTACATTACTTCTATACTTTGTTCAGAATTTATATTATAAATTTTTGAAAGTATGTTACTTTTTTGTTATACTTAGAAAACTGTAAAGTATTAAGTTATTTAAATTATTAATATTAACAATCAGGTAAGATTCTATAAACGATCTTTTTATTATATAAATAAAATCATTTTAAAGAAAGTCAGGAAACAATTTATTTAATGGAAAGTAATATATATTTCTGTATTATTTAAGTGCTTATTGTATATTATTGTAGATAAAATATTCTATTTTGTGAAAAATATTATTCTATTGCATTAAATATACCGTTTTTCTTTATTACGTTTTTAAAAACAAATGCAATGATAAATAAGATATATGTATTTATATCATATTTAAGAATAATGTTAATTTATTTCGATCTGTGAAAATGTCGTTCGACGATTTAAGTTATATCCAATAAAAATTCAAATTTACGGTTCTCAATTCATGAAAAATATGAAATTTGATTCATACATGTACATTAACAATGGCTAAACAAATTATACAAGATAATTAAATAAGTAAAAGTATATGCAATAGGCTTATGTTATTTTTTCTGCATTTAAAGAAGTATAAATAATCACTTTTAAAAACAAATTTATATTTTTGTTTGATTTAAAGTGAAGTATGACTATATTTTTATTTTAAATAATTAAAATGAATACACATTATTTTGGCTGATATGGATACATAGATGCTTGGTAATAGAGCTTCTGTTTATACTAAATCACATTTATTACGTTAATTTTATCTTCTTTATATATTTTAAAAATATGTTTCTATCGACGGTAATAAGTAATTTTAATGATTATGTATATCGCTTTCAAATCTGAATTTTAAACAAATGAAAAATACAGTACCTTTTTTATTAGATGCGAAAGAGAAATCTTATATTAGAGGCTATTGTAATTTGTAGTATGTATGCATAGACACACTACATTTATACGTTGGGGAAATACAACGGCGACGATATTAATTGTAAGATTAATAAAAAAATATAACAAAATTAGATAAATATATATTCTTTCACCCCGTGTAATATTATTAAAAATTTGTTTATATTAAATATTTAATTTTACAGATATTTTTTGTAGCGTATCTCAATAATTTATTTCTTTTTATTATATCTGATACCGACGTTTATATTATGTCAGAACGAAACCTTACTCCTTTGTCATTGAATGAAATAAACATGATTCGTTCATACTCTGGTGATAAAAGATTTATATATTTCAAATATTTTCTTCTTTCTGTATATACTTCTATAATTTTATAATTCAAGAGCTATTGATTATGTACTCTCACATTTTTGAATTCAAATACAATAAATTAATCTAGACAGTCAATAGAAGATGAAACTGAGCTTAACACTAGCACAACATTCAAAGACATACATCTATGCTTGAAACATTCTGATGTAAGAAGAGTGATCACCCCTTTAACAGTATGTGTTTATGACTATATGCAGATATTACATGATTCATTTTTCAATTCAATATTTATTAAATTTATTTTTCCAGTTTCTGTTTTGAAAATCATAAAATATATCAACAATTCACTAAATATCTAAATTAAATTCATATATGTAGATCGTAAAATTAATAATTTAATAATAGAAGTAATGATCAATAATAAGAGTTCTAAAATTTACGCAGATGAATAATAAGCAGATAGATATAATGGTAATCTATATTGGTAAATGTATATTACGATTATACAAATAGCTACGTTTTACGAAACTAATTCGGATTTGTAGTAGGCAAGGGATTTTCTAGCACCTTATATTACTAGTATGTTACGAAAGTACAGCAGATAACCTGAAGTTATTAATTAAATAAAAAAATTATATTCTACATTAATATATATATATATGCATATTAATGTTTCTACCAAATAATATCTATAATACTAAATATGAATAAAACTAAATATATATTGAAATTCAAAATTTATTATAACACTTTTAAACATTTTAAAAAATTTTTTTAAAAATTTATTGTGAATGTAATTTAAAAATTGTAAATGCAAGCTTTTAATAAATTATTAATTATAATTGTATTTAAACCATGAACAGAAGGCTCGTTGCAAATAAAAAAAAGACCAATCTTTGTGTGCCGTGCGATGCATAATGGAATATGGGTGGCGGGCGGTCAAAAAGAGGGTGACAAACGGTGTACAGTTACCCTGACAGGTAACGTACGTTCATATGAACGTTACCAGTTGTTAGAGAACGTGGAAAATGCAGCACGTGTTAGTTGGAACGATTGGACCAAATTCTATAGGCCACCCTTTGGATCTGTTGCGACCGACAAGTTGTACGTTGCGAGGCACATCATCAATCAGACAGCACATAACGGAGAGAGGCCTTTCCAGACCCACTATATTGGTACTCTCAGCTCTCAAGATACACTTGGTACTATTACCTATGTCAAGGAGGTACATGTCTTATTTTTTATTACAACTTTTTTTATTATAACTGTACTAGAAAATTTTTATACTAATTTTTTTACTGATTTAATTTATATGTACGATATTACGATACAAGCAGTCTGATATAATAGAATATTTTAAATTGATTAGATTTTAATAAATTTCATCTTTTTGAATAACTTAAATAGAAATAAAATGTTAACATGGAATAGCTAAATCTATAATTTAGATTATTATTTAATATATTCTTTTATAATGAAAATATGTACTTTATGGTATTAAATAAAAACCCTATATATTTAATTCAATTAAAAATTACCTCCATGATAAAGCCCCATAATTTCATTTAAATTCACTATTTCAATAATATTAAAAGTTTAAAACAAATTTTTTTTATTTAATTTAATCGTAAGTTAATCGATATTCTTTTTCAGGATGGTAATGAAGGTTCAGCGGAATTCGGTCAATTGTTAGTCGAAACAGAGCCGATATCATATGAATTGAATACCGTTGTACTCAATAATATGAAACAGCAGATAGTAAAAAAAAAATTACAAATCCTCGGCGAAGCTACAATAAAAAATGAGGGGTCTACGCCGGTTGTGATGGCCGAAGCTTTTGTTAATATATATTTGTATACACTTTATTGGGGTCAAGGGCATGCTATGCTTAAAGGCCTTAACACTAGTGTTATCTTACAAAATAAAACACGATTGTCGGATACAAAGTGGGGTATCGATATTAAAGAAAATCGTACCAATGTTTATACGTAAGTTTAATTATTTAATCATTTCTATTAGTATCTAGTTATCTATATCTAAATTTCTCATTATTTTATCTTTATTGTCTAGTAAAATTTTATTTGAACAATCAAACAAAAATTATTATATAGAAAATATATTTTTATTATTTAACGTAATTCAAATTCAGTTTGAATAATTATGAATAATATACTGTAATTTCTGGCATACAATCAACTAACAATTCGAGAATTAATACCATTGCAGAAAATGACGTATTTATTATATTTAAGTTATTTCGGAATCAAACTTTAACTTCAGTTTCATCGTAAAAACATAATATTAAAAAAATTTTTTTTTGTAAATTAACTGAATAAAAAAATGCAATAAATGAATTTGACTTTTTAGAGTGGAGGTATATTTACAGCCAGGAACAGCAGTAAATGTAACTCTTCGTGGATATTACACTGATGTTGAAGTTCCTTATAGTGGCAAGCTTTTATCTCATTACAAAGACAATGCTTCGACTGATCCACGCATGATAAATGGTGTTCGTCGTGAAGAAAGTATTGTCGACATTACACCCGAGTTTGGGAGTGTATATTATTTTCATAATTATAACCTTATACCCACAACAGTTACGTTCCTCAGTAACGAGTCAACAACTAGTAAAATGTTGATCATGACAAACCATCAGCAGCAAACAAATCGACTTGATTTGGCAAATAATAATCCTGAACGACAGTTAAAAAAGGAAAATGCAGTCATTGATATGAATGAAATATTGAATTCGGTGACACAACACGAAGTAGCAAATATACAGGGCGATGATGGTGTCCCGTTATCATTGAAGAATAAAAGCGAACAGTCCATGGCTACAAACACTAGAGTATCAAGATTCGTATTATTAGGGATAACAATGTTGACGTCAATGCTCTCATTGTTACTTAATCGAGTTACGTGAATCTAAACAAAATTAAGTGACACCAAAGAGCTTTTTATTTGCTTTTTGAAAAAGAGTTTTAAAGGATCTAGTACTTGGTAATCCGTGATTTTGAAAATAATAAAATAAAACAATTATAAAACAGTTCTTAACTATTTATATACTTTAATGCGAGGAAAAGAATATTCTATTTTAATTACTTAATACATTTGTAATTATATATATGCATACATTTACATGGTAGCCTCAAGTTGATAGTTTGCTGAAAACGCGAAATATTTGTTTTCTTTTCTCTTTCTATGACGAGAATAAGAGAGCAAGTTGGTGTTGTATCGTTGTGTAGAAATTTACTGTGAATGTGACAATATTAGTGGTGTTGCAAGTGGAGAAATTTCAAACAAGATAATTTCGTATAACTAAATTCATCTGTACAATCATTGGTTGATAGTATTCACATTATTTGACACACATTTTGCCTTTCGATTTATACTACATTACCTTCAATATAAATTTGTTTGCCTGTAAGCATCTATGTATTTTGTACTGTACTTGAATTGATTTAATAGTAAGTTACATAGAAAAGAAGTTTCTTTATCAACATTATATTAAATATTAAATTATTCTGTATGGTAAAATGAATATTGGATTACTATGTAATTTATAGAAAAAAAAACGAAGAAAATATAATAATTTTAATTTTATTACGAAGGTAATAAAATTTTGTAAATAAAAATGATCGCATAATATATATAGTGACTAATTTAAAAATGTTAAAATGGAATAAAATCTATAATTGTAATTAATATAACCATTTAAACATAAATAAACGTTGTAATAGAACATATTCCATCTGCAATAAAATTTTTCTGCTAATAAGTTAATTTTGATTCATTCAAATATCCTAAATGAAATACTAATTATATTTAGATTATTATATAAAAATATACTGTATAGACTTTTAAGTATAATTAATTTAGCTAAGACTGAAACGTAAGGGTATTATCTATGATTGGAACACTGCATTACTTTCTATCATGTATTATATTTTTAAAATGAATGTAGAACTTATAAAATATATGCTTTTTGTCTGATGACCAATGATATTTATTAACATCTCAAATAACTTATTTTTTCTGACCATGCTGCTTGATTCCTTTGTTTAAATATGCTTAATGAAAAATTATTTAGGTTAGAAGATACATTATATAATTAGTTTTAACTTAAACATTAAAGATTATGTAGACAAATTCTTCTTTATAATTTTATTCATATCAATTTGAAATATTTAAGATTATTGATCATTTCATAATTACATTTAATTTATCGTTTGCATATTGTCATTAATAGATAGCTAAATTTATTTTCAAATTCAATAAAAATTGTTATAATATAAATATAAATAAATATTAATACATAAAAAATAATAATGGCTTTTTTCCATGTACTCTTTTATAAAAACAATTTGTTTACCTTAAAAGCATATAAGTGCAATATTATATTTTTATTAAAGAGGACATTAGACTAGAAGTGCCACTTTTGTTTGAAAAATACCCATGTTTTTATTTCAATTATTTTGTATATCATTTTCGTTGTTTCTAGGATTTGTAAGAGTAACAAATTAAAAATTTTGATATTTATTTAAAAAGTATATGATCTCAGAATGTGTATTTTTCAAATATAAAATATTAATAAACTATATGAACTACACAAACCATTTTTCAGTATACCATATTTAAAAACTAAAAAATATATAAAGTTGTGTAACTTGGTAAAAAAATTATTTATTTGGCATAAAATTTGTAAATTTAAAAAATACTTTTATTAGAGCTGTTGCTTTTCTCTATAAAATATTTTTATGTAAAAATATATCTCCAAATTTTTCATATAGACTACAGAATTTATAGAAAATGTCTATAAACCTTACATTTTAAATTTCCATATTTAACTTTTATAATGGAAAATGACACTTTTGTGTTTTATTATAAGTATATTGCTTTGATACAAGCTAGCTTTTTTATTTTTATTTTTTTATTTTTTACCATTAATAAAAATAAAAATAATAATAGAAGCAATTTAATAATAATTAATTTAATAATAATTTAATAAATAATGCTGTATATAATTATTACACATATACTTAATTCAGGTAATACATAATAAATGGAAAAATCAGAATAATTAATAATTTATTGTTATTATAATTAATAGTAAATAAAGAAAGAAATTATATGTAAAAAATTTTATTTTACCAAATATATAAAATTTGTATGATATATTTGTAAGATATATAAAAAGAATTGTGATGAAGGTAAATTCAATTTAATAAATTAATTTTAATAGATTAGGAAATGTTTTAAGAAATATTATAATTTTATTATTTTTTCTAGCTTGAATTAAATAAACTTACCAAGGACTCCATACTGTTGAGGAGTTAATTTAATATCTCCTTCAAAACCTCCGGCTACTGAAGATATCATAGATAGTCTATCACTAACGACACTACGAGTACTTGTTTCGCTTCTTCGTGTCCAAGACACTTGAGAAATTGCATCTATAATTTCAATATAAATTTCATAACTTGTTTGAAATGACACAATTCAGTATTTTTTATTTTAATAATACAAGAAAGAATGTAATATTTTACCAAAATTAGAAGCCTTTGAATGAATTAACTTTTGTTTTGAATCTCTTAAATGTCGCCTGGATGGAGGAATAGAATGTCTTCTACGTCTTTTTAATAATTGTGCCAAGCTTCCAAGTAATAACGTACCACTTGTGAAGCAAATAATTAAAACCTTAAATTTAATAGAATTAAACAATTAAAGTATTTATGCTAATTGTAAAATCATTAATTAACGATCATCTACTCTTAAGAAAACATAAAATAAAACCATTATAAATAATAAGCTTAAAAATTTAGTTTAAAATTTTTATGCAAGATTTATGACTAATTTGGTTTAGCATATGTATACATTTCATAGATTAGTTACCTTCTGGGATCGTGAAAGGTTAATTTTTGGCAATGAAATATAAGGAATGCAAAACTTTCCTAAGAAATCTTGGTCGTTTAAAATAAACATGTTCATTTTTTACTATCTTCTTACTTTCTTAAAAATTAAATAAATCCATGGCATAAAATTTGTTTTCGTTACCTATTACGTTTTTTCTATAGAATCAAGTCACGAAAAAATGTATAATTTCAATAAATTTATCAGCAAATAAATCATGAATTGTATTAAACTCTCTGATTACATTAATTTTCCTCTTTATAAATGTTCAAGAACAAGGAAAGTTCTATCAAATTAACACCAATACTTCTTAAAATAAAAACGTGAAATATTTATTTTAGATCTACTATAATTTTTTCTATGATAAAAAATAATTAAACATTTATAAACTTTAAATAAGATAAAATCAAATTATAACTAAATCTCTGAAGGCAATTGGGGAGCATAGTTGATGCCTCTTTTTCTATCAATGCTTATTGGCTCCGAATGACCTGCTGAGTATGAAATCTTGTATGCTCTTGTATGCTATCTTGTACGAAATCTTGGAACGTCATATTATTGATTATATATAATATTTAAACAAGTAAATGAAACACCGCCAAATCTTTTATTTTTAAAATAAAATTTATTTGCTAATTATTACAATATAAAATACTGTAAATACATCTATTTCGTAACAAATCAAAATAATAATGTAAAAATACAAAAACAAAATTAAATTAGTCGAAATATTAAAATGAAATGATTTGATTTATTTTTAATTAAGAAATTTTTTGAAAAAATATATTTTTAAAACCTTAATTAACATACAGAATTTTAAAGAAAATTCATTAGCTTAAATTTGTTACTGTCTATAAATAAAAAAATATTTAAAATTTCTTTCTTAATATATTCTGACTATGGACGATAATTACAGACATAGAACAAATTTAAGTGCATTTAAAATAACTGTTTGCCTTGAAAGTGTAATCCATCTACGAAGAGGCAAGATTTATACGCATATACACCATATTCAAAATTCAAAATTTTCTAAATTGCAAAATTGTTAAAAATGATTGATTTCATATAATAAATATTTAACAATTTCTTGTTATAAAATAATCATAATATATAGAGAGATTACCCTTATTTTAATAGTAGATTAATCATAAATGTTAATATAATGTTTCTTATTTAATAAATAATTTTTATATTAGAAATTAATATAGAAAAATATATTTAATTTAACATTTACAAAAGAAATTAATAATATTATTAAGACATTGAGAATCTATTCGAAATCATATCATTTAAAATGAAATCATATTTTAATTAACATATATGAAGTATGATTAATGTTATAAATTAATTTTAAGGTATAATCTAAATTTATCTTTTGTTCTGTAGATTCTCAGATTTAAAATCAAGAAAGACACGAAATATTTAAACAGATTATTAATTTTTATTTTTGTTATTATACAAAAAATGTAATTAACGAGTACAACGTTATATAAATCAATATTAATTTAATTTGTTGAAATTCGTTTAAATAGCTGAAGTAAATTCTCATATAATATTTTTACGTGGCTAATCTACCATAAATACAGGCATAATATTGTTTATAATATTGTAAATTCCTTTAACTTCATTAATTTTAAGTTATACCGTTATATTCATTACTTTAAACCCTGTTTTCTTTTCTTTCAATAATATATAAGTACCTTTAGTACCTTGTTTAAGTACCTTTTAACATAAGTACCTTTCATTTTATATCTTAAGCACTGCAATGTACATCACTATTTTATCATTTATATTTTTAATACTATTGGGTTCCATTCTAGCTTAATCAGTACTGGTCATAAATAAGGTGAATAAAATTAATTAAATAAAATTTTTAATTTTTTAAAATGCTTTTCTTTACACTATTCAGTGATGATATATTAATTTAAATGTTGGAGTGATAGTTAATGCTAGTATTTTAAATAATTATATTAATTATTTCTTTTTATATACATCTAGTAGATTTTCTTTTTTATATATTGCAAATTTCTTTAATTTATGTAAAAATTGTAACATGTTTCAAATAAGGAATTAGAAACATATTAGAAAAATTGTACAAAAATAATATGTTACGATTAGTAATTGCAATAAATTACTAAATCCAATAAAATTTTAATAAAACTGATTAAGGGAAATTAAAAATTTTGAAATAAACTAGTTCATAATTTTGTATTTTCAAAGGTAACAATATAAACATGTAATAACTTGCATAAAAACTTATAATATTCCAATGTCAAGATTTAGATGTGAATCACAATGTCGAATTATGGTGATAAAATATTTTTTGAAAAAGCAAAATATCTAATTATTCACCATTACTTATTGCAATTCTGTACGCTAAAAATACAAATTCTGTGCTTTAATATCTACACAAATAAAGCCTTTTTATTGTTAATTAATGCCAATATTGATATCATTGTATAAATAATATATTTTATTGATTTGCAATGTAGAACGTATTATCTTCTAAGCTGTAAGATGCTCAATTACCATAGATTCTCTTTGATAGCAAAGAAGAATATGATCCTATAGATTTAATGGAATTACACTATGTAGATGAAAATGCTGTCACAGAAACTTTGACTGGTTTGTATTAATATGAAATAATAACATGTTCTTAACAAAACCAATTATAATTTAATAATATTTTTTTAATTTTTCTTTTATAATATATATTTTCGCTTCCTTACTTTTGTCACATAAGCTTTACAATATATATCTATTTAAGATTAAATATAATAAATAAATATAATATCTTATTGTAACTATAGTAATTGATGAACTCAATAACTCAGTTTCAATTCAGATTTTAATCTTTAGTTACGTAATTTTATATTTAGCACTAATATAATATTGAAGCTCTGAATTATTTCGAATCTCTTAAACTCATAAAAATTTACTAACTAAATAATTAACATATACTTGCAGGTTCCTGAACTCTTAAAGCGTTGATAACGCAATGCCAAATACAGTTTATATAAACATTTGTAACAATTAAGTGTAAAAAATATTAGTTAATAGTGATTAATTACTAATCAGTTAATGATTAATTAATTTAATTATTAAAACTACATTAGTTTAAAATAAAATGTTGTAATCAAATTATATAAACTAGAAATATCATTTATACTCTTCTAATGGAAAAATTAATGTCAAAACAAGTTATCTGAAACTTGACAGCATGGGGGTACTAATATGTTAACACATTTAGATTATGTAATATTTCATTAAAAATTTTATTGAGTTTTTGCGCTTTTTATCATTTGCCAAATTAAAAATTCAACTAGAAATATTCTTAAAACCGTTATTAATCTAATTAATTTTCAAACTAAATATTTTATGAAGTGACAGGACCATCTTGTGGTGAGCTTATATATATGTTATGACATTTCGACTATTATAACACTAGAATTAGAAGTATCGAAATGAAATCGTTTTAAATATAATGTGTAATGTTGCGTTTTAAAAATTTATATTTTAAACAGTCATTAATTTCATTAATTTTATTAGTTGATTTTGTTGTATTTACTACAAAAATATGCAATTACTTGTAATATACAATATTGATACGTATAATCTTTTCATTTTTGTAATTTTAATATTTTCCACATGAAAAATATTAATTAAAGATTGTGTATATTATATTAAATAATCGCATTGTTATATATTTATGTTATCTAAAAACTGTATGTTTCACTTTTGAGTACGATTTGTATAGTTTCAAAATTGTAGAACATGCGCCGTAAGTGTATATTTGTAGTTTGTAATATTGTTAGAATTTTTCGTTTTTTAATTTGTAAATTATGTAAATTAAACTAAATTAAAACTCGAAATGAAGAGAATAATATATAAATATGTTACTCAATAGTATTAAAATTTTATTTATAATTTTTATTTTGTATTTGATATTTAGTCATATAGATAAATTATTTTTAAGTGCAATACACAGTATGTTAAAATTTCAAAAATTTGGAAAAATTTAAATTATTCTTTGAATTATAAAAATTTTTAAACGCTTCGTTCATTTTTCAAACTGTCAAATATTTTAAATTATGAACAATTTATTACAGTTTTTGTTAAACAAAATTAATAAGATTTTATAAAATATTAATATTTAAATTTTCTAATTTGGATTTGTTAGATTGTTTTTTGGAAAAGATTAAAGGACTGTAAATTTAGTTGAATCAGTGGAAAAAGTATTGATTTGTATATTTTTATTATACAATTTACATATTTTTCAGCTGCATATTGATAGATAAGAATATTAATATTTAACATTTTATTGGGAATAAAAGTTAAACCACATATAATTTGATTGCTGTATAATGAACATTACATTTTCTATACAATCAAAATTATTCTAAAAATATAATAATTGAAATACAATTGATTTATTGGTACGTAGTTTATTTCTCATGTTTTACATATTTAAATTAAATATTTAAATTTATATAAATATTATCAATTTATTTGCCGAATCAAAAACAAAACGTCCATATATCTAACTAAACCAATCACGTTACTTGTTTCAGATAGTCCCAAATTTTCTTTTCTTCCTTATGTGTAGGTGTTAATGCTATTTATGGAAATGGTATTTAGCAATAGTATATACATGCTTGTTCATGCACTCGTATGCATACTTAGTTTAGGGCGGCATTTCTTCTCTTTCTCTCAACTGTGTTTGACCTTTCTGTGCTCAGGAGTTTCCACGACTCCATTTCGTATTTTGAGCTAATAAGTTATTTGAATATATTTGATATCTAATAATAATAAGTAAAGGTAAGTTTATTAAACAAAATTATCAGTTAAATTTATAATTAAAAACAGCAAATTTTAATAATAAGAATGCTCGCATAAAATTAATAAAGAAATTTTTTGAATTCCTTAAACATACCGGAATACTAGGGCGTGCATAACGCGGCGTCTTTTAGCATGAGTGAATTTTAGGAATCATAATTTCAATTATGACTTTATAAATACGAGAATATAAATTATTTATTTTAAATTAAGGAACTACTTTTGCCTTATATAAATAGATTAGCAATGTTCATTTATAACTTAAAAAAATTATTGTTCTACAAGTTAAGATAAAATTTTGTTCGTTAATTATAACAAATGTCTTGTAATTGTGATTGTATTAATTGAATTTTTTTCAGTCATGTCATTTAATCGAGGGATAAAACGTGATTCCTTTGGAAATCGCAATTTCAACAATAGAAACATGGGTGGTGGTGGTGGAGGAAGAATTGGAAATCTTAGTGGCGGAATGGGAAGCAGTGGTGGTGGTACTGGAGGAGGTATGAATCCATGGGAGAGTGGAATGATGCCTGGTCGTGGAATTTTGCCAACTCCCAACAATAATCTTTCCCTTGCTTCGCCACAAGCCCAATTAGCTATTGCTAGTAACCTTCTTTCAAATCTTCTGAGAAACCAGCAAGATCCTCCACAACAGGTAATTTTTATTAAAAAATATAATATCGAATAAGGAGTTTTAAATTCCAAATTATTTATAAGAAATAATTTCTAATTTATAATAATTATATTGGAGTTAATATTAATCTAATAAAAGTGGAGTGTGATTTTTTATTAGGTGTCAAGTTATTAAAATGATTTAGTTATTAACTAAATTAATTATATCTTATTTGTTATTCATGATCATGGTTAATATTAATAATATTTAAGTAAAACATATATTATAATTTTTAATTATAAAAATTATAAATAGAAAATTGTAAATTAATGAATATAAAATACCTTACTAAATAAAAAAATGATTTTGTTGTTGATTTAATCTTGTATTTTAACAAGAAAGTGAAATTGGTTTACAGTAAAATATTATAAATTGTATCTATTAAATATTTAAAATTTTTCTTTATTTCTTGTACTTTTATTTTTGTTTTCTATATTTATTGTATGACAACTGAGATAGTTAATATAAATTTTATTTTATTAAGAATAAATATTAGATATTCATCTCTATATAATATTGATTTTAAGTATTAACTAAATAATTTTGTTAATAATTTAATTAATAATAATAATAATAAAAATTTGTTAATAATTTAATTTTTTATTTAAAGAATATAAATTAATGGTAATTAATAAATAAAACAGTCTCAGTTTTTGTATTATTATTACTAATTATATTATTGAATATTGTTCTTATTATAAATATGCTGTCTTTTGCAATTAAAATTGCAAATATTTTATTTAATAGGATGACATAGGAAATTTTATATTATTACATATAAAATTAGTTTTCAATATTTGTATTTGTGAATTAACAGTATTTATTTATGAAATTTATAGGTCATAATTTTTTTTATAATATTCTACTATATTTATTTTGTGTATTAAAATGTTTAGGAATTTTTATGGAATTTTTACTCCTTTATAAAAGTTAAAAGAGAATTACAAACTAATTAAGAATTTTTTTGATAAGAAGGTACCATCACTACTCAGCTTGAGTAATAATTATAGTGGTCCAGGTCCTAATTTCTCTAACCAACAGAGCTTTAATCAAGGTCGTTTCAATGACCGAGCTGGTCGTCATAATATTAAAAATCAACGACTTCAACCATATAACAAAGTATGTATGATTAATATTAGGTATAATAAAAATTTCAATAAGTATTAATATATTAATATATAATAAAGTACATTTATTATGTAATTGACAATTTTTGAGCCAAGTAATTTCACTTATAATTATTTAATTTTTATTTTAAATAGTTCAAATATTAAATAAATTCTTTGTCAAATAAATTGATATACAGTAATAAGTTTATAAAGAAAATATATTTTAGCAGTTATGCTTATTATAAATTGAGTTTATGTTCATTGAAATAAAAGATATAAAAAATTTTAATTGTTTAACATCTTAAGAAAATTAAATAAAAAGTATTATAATCTTTGAATTATTTTGTATTGTACCATATGATTGATTTGTAAATATGATTTTAAATTATTTTTAAAAACTTCCATTCCGAAAGAATAATTAAAATTTATTCTTGTTAATTAAGAATTTAATTTTAGATTTTATTTATTTATCTTTTCAACACAATAAGTATATACGAAAATTTTAATATCACAAATAGTTTTATCTGAATTATAAATTTCAAATTTTCTAACAATTAATTATTAGATTAATTATAAATTAATCTTGTTTTTAAAATAACATTTTATATGAAATGATAAAGACAAATATAGATATGATTGATAAGTAATAATAATAAACATTTTTAATACACATAGAAATTTATAAAAATTAAAATAAGTGTGTAATTTTTTTAGGTTAATATGTTTTAACAGTATGCATATATTATCAGTGACAATAATTAATTAATTTAATTTAATATTGTGCAATTTAAAAGAAGTAACTTATTTTTGTATGAGGAATTGGAGATATTTTAATTTTTGTACAAAAATCGATGTCATTACATTTTTTAAAGATATAGTTTTTTTTATAAATATATCTAAGCATATATGAAAAAAGCATAAATTTCCTTATATTATTTTTTGTTAATGCTAATTCTGCAATTAGATATTTATCTGTAAATAAATTATTATGATTATTATTCACTACTATTAAGAATAGATTTTTTTTTAATTGTACAATAATAGAAGATTATGTTTGAATGATATAACTTAGCTAATTCAATATTTTCATGCAAAATTTAATAAAAATAAACCAAAATAATAGATCTAGTAAAGCATTTATATATACATTACATATTTGATATAATGTTTGTTTTGAAGAAACTTATCACACAAATCCTAGTTTGAGGAAATATAATTTCATATATCACATTCATAATTATCTGTAAACAACAAATAATAAGCATCATTCTTGTATCAAAGTAGTCTTGTATAAAGTTGTTAGTTCAACGCTTTTTACCAATTTTGATTATTTTTTTCACATTTATTTGTAGTCTCCTATAGATATTCTATATCAACTATAAAAAGGATTATCAGGGTGATCATTAGTGAATGTAATTCTAGTAATAATCTAAAAAAGGAAATATTTTATATGCAATGAAATCTCTTGTACACCTTATATTTTTCAAGATGAAATACATCTATCTCTTAGTGGAAAGTATCTAATACCTTAATTTCTGTTTAAAGATAAAACTTGGTCTTAAAAATCAATGCCATGAAATTTATTATTTCGTATTTGATGTGTATGTGGAAATTATCTACCACTGTAAATAATACATTCCTTTCTACCCAAATAAGCAAAGTAAAAAAGGTCTTGTTGCCTTTTCTTTTTATTATTCCCTCGTAAGCATCCCTTGACGAGGAAATATAAGCAAATCAAGCTTAACTCAAAACACATAATGGCCATATGGTATACGAAACTTCTTATGAAATGGTTTGGTCGTTTTGACCTACACAAATAGATGGGCAATCGAGCCCGAGACGGCATTGTTGGGCGACGTGGCCCGCAATCTCGTACGCCCCAGTCAGGCAACCAACGCCAGAATGGAAGCCAAAATCAGCGGAACGATAAGTCTTCTAAAGCAAATACTGCCTCTAAGAAAAATCCGACCATCAAAAAGGAACAGCAGGATAAGACCTCTGATAAGACCAATGAAAAAGCTGAAGTGCCTGTTGCTTTAAGGTAAGCTGGTGGGAGATTGCAAATAGTTTCTTCAAACTTCAAAGTATGTTCTCGTATCTTCTCTTAAGTACCCTCGAGAGATGGAAAAAAGAGATTATAAAGATTCCGATTTTCTTCTTTAGATAGATACTGGATTTGTTTTACTAACTTTTTGATTTTATCTATTTATTTGAATATTTATTGTTACTCTAATGAATTATGCCCGATTTTTTTTTTTACTAATTAATATAATAAGCAATAATTACCTATAAAATCAAGCTTAAACGATACAAAAATTAATTGTTGCATCCAGATTCTAGCTAATTTTTTAAAAATTATTAGTTATGAATATCATTTAATGAATTGATATTCCTTAAACAAATATCGTTATTTTTAATACTAATATAATTGATATCGCTTATGATTATTATTATTGTTGTTATTATTATTATAATTGTTATTATTATTGTCGTCGTTGTCGTCTTCATCATCATCATCATCATCATCTTTATTAATATTATAATTATCATCATTATTCATATTATCATGTTTAACAACGCCATTATTTATAGAATTTAAAAAAATTTAAATAAAAGCTATTTCTAATTGAATTTAAGGTTCATAAATTGAGATTGTTTTTGTATAAGTAAAATATGAATATTTATATTAATAGTATACATTTTTTGCCGACTCAAAATTATGTTAAAAAAACCAATGTTTTCTCAATATACCATTAAAAACATAATTATTTAGTATAGTTTGTATAAAATTTGTAGTTTTATAGTACTTAACATAAATGATTTTTTTCTTAATGTTTTCAAGCACATTATTTTTAATTATAAATTAATCAAGATATTTATTTACAATTCAGAATTATTTACCAATATGGCTAATTATAAGAGTAACATTAATTATTTAATCGAATAGTAAATTTTAAATTGATAGTAGAGTAAATACCGGATAAACCTGCAGGAGTATGTTTATAATACAATTAGGTACAATGTTACTGACTTAACGAAATTCAACATTTTATTTTTGACATTGTACATGCATATTACCTACTTTTTAAGATTTTGTATTATGCAAAAGATTCGAACATTTCTGCCCATCTCCATCTATAAATTTATAAGCGATGTCTCGTTTCAAGTTATCCTTGAATCTAAGAGGCAAACAACGTTCGTCGAAGTATTCCTACGGATTTTCCATTTCAGAGTCACAACACTTGTATAGCACTCGTATATTAGATTTATTATACATTCTAAAAGTGCTTACACGAGATGCTGTAAGAGTCATATTTGTTTTTTTTCTTCATCGTGAAGCTTGTAACGTGAAAGCTATATTTTGTCTGTTTTGTAGAACAAAAAATATATATAAAGAAAAAAATTTTACATGTTTTTAGAAGAAATTTTTGTTGCATAAAAATATCAATATGGATTTTTATTAAAAAATGCAATATTTAGAAATTAGTTTGAACCATGATATTGATAATTGATATTAAATAATATAAGATAATTCTTGCATTGCATTGTGTATTAAGAATATTGCCAATTCTTTCGATAATTAATTTTTTAAATTCCAAGATTGACAATTACATTCTTACCGTGGGTTTATTATTGCAATTATTACTTGGGTGAGCGATACATTCTTCAATCAAATACATATTTTATCAACTCTCATTATTTAGTTAGGTTGTAATTATTTTTAACATATATATATTTAGTTAATAACGTTGTTCTTATGAAAAAAACTATAAAACAATAACAATACTATAAAATATATTATCAATTGGAGTATGTATTATATATTTAATAAATTTGTTGTAAATTTAGAAAATATATTTAGATATATATGTGTATGAATACTTTTAACAATTTACTAATTATTAGAAATGTCTTTTTAATTACAGATTGTTCGAAAGTATAATTTTGTATATGATTATTCATTTGAAAATTTTTATTTTTGTTTAGTGATTACATTTTTACTTATTTTATAAATATACAAAATGTATAATAATTACAAATCAATTTTAAAGACAACTAAGTAATGAACTTAAATATCTAAGAAGTTATCAAAATTGCATACATAAAAATCTTAAAATAATTTTCATAGTAATTACATTAATTATAGCGATTATATAATAATCTTATTCTTTAAATAATTGATGTACTACTTTATTAGTTTATTTCTTAATAAATGATATGTAATTATGATAAAGATTTTAGATCATTTGTGAAAGATAAATAAAGAATAATAAAATTAAATTAAATCACTATGCCTGTGAATTTTATAAATCAATAAAATTAAAAATTCAAATAAGTATCTATTAATAATTAAGGTACAATTTATTCAGCACATTTATACATTATAGAAGTACATCATTTTGTGAAAAAATCTGAGTTTCAAGATTTTGTAATAAATACAAAAAATGAATATCAACATTTATTCGATCATATTGTACTTAAAATTTATTATATATTAATAAAAAAACTTATTACCAATTTGTTTAACTAATATTTTCACTTCGATTTATACATTTTTTTTATTTAGCATAAGATATCTGATTTTTGCCATTTATTGTTAGTGTAATTCAAGTATATCCAATAAATATAATAATAGCATTTAATTTAATTATTTTATTTATATTCATAAATTAAACAACCTAGTTAAGCTATTTTAATTAATGTTTATATTATATAAATATATTTCGAATTTCTTAATAGAATTTAAGCCTGTTGAATTTGTTTATTTTTTTGTTATTTTTAATAAATCAATTCATAAATAATATATTATTTATATAAATTATTCTTTTATTAATAATAATGTTATGTATAAATTCTATATAAAATTTTAATGTGCATTTCATTAATATTTTTATTAAATAAATTTTTAATTTATGAATATAATTAATATATGTTTGAATAAATGTTACAGATTCTTGTTAAAACGTAAGTGAAAATTTATATGCAATGAATTTGTTTAAATTTGACATATAAGTTTTACATTTGTCTGGATTTTATTTTTTATATATTCCCTACAAATTATATTTATAGATTATTAAATCTTAAATTTTATATTCGAATAATCTGTAAATAAACATAAAATTTAGTAGTGTATACAATTTTTAATTTTATAAATGAAATATGTTAAGTTAATTTAGATATTTTTTTAATGAGTTGGGATTTCTATTATTGATGTTTAATATGCTCTTTAATTTGATAAACTATTTTCGTATTTTATACATTTTTAAAAATTGTATTATCAAATTAAATAAAATCCTTAATTATATGCAAGAACTATCTTAAATATTACTTTTATAAATGTTGAATTTATATCATAAATTTTTATATTTATAATAGCGAAGAGAATGAAGAAACTGAAGAATCTAAGAAACGTGAATGGAAAGATGAGAAAAAAGAACTTGCAAATGATAAAACTGATGATTCCATAAAGATTGAAGATGTTGCAGTTGACAAGGACGAGTCACTAGGAGACAAAGGCACTGGTAAAAAATCTGCCGCTAGACACGCAGAAAGTCGTTATGCAGATGTTCCAATTAGTAACATGTTTTGTCATGTTTGCAATAAATACATGTGGGATGGAAACGTAAGCTACATATAATTAATTTTCATATAATTAACATATAATTAATATCAATACAAATTTTTTAATATTATATTAATTTTAAATATAGGCGAATCAAGTAGATTTGGAATAGGATCTTTTGATTAAAATTTTATTTTTGTTCATTTTAAATTAATAATTAATATAATTCAAAATTATACATTGTAACTTTATATATGCAATATAATAGCCATACGAATAAAATCGTAGGTTTTAGTAATACTTTTGAATATTGAAACAATATAATAAAGTATGTACACATTTTAGTCGTTCGAAAATCATCTTCGTGGTCGTGCCCATCAGCTAATGATGGATAAACTTGATGAATCTTATAAACTAAAAGTAGAATTGATGAGACATGAATTAAGAGTTGCTGAAGAACAACGTGAACTCAGTCTTACTAATTCAAAACGACGTGGTAAAAAAGTATGTATAGACTATAGTTAAAAGTGAATTTAATTTTTAAGCAAACGGGGCATTCGACATAACTATTTTTATTTTTTATTTTATTTTATAGCTATCGGTAGATTTGAGTGTTAGAGAATATTGTACCATGTGCGATTTAAATTTTTACGGCACTCTTTCAAGTCATCGTAAAAGCGAAAAACATCAACAGCTAAAAACATTTTTACATCCCCGTTGTTTTCCATGTGCTAAGGAATTTCCTTCTAGAATTGAATACGACGAGCATTGTCTCACACCAACACACATGAAAAATGCTGTTCAAAACGAAGAACAAAGGAAAAATAAAAAAAAAGGTATAATTTATAAACCATAAAGTATAAATTAAATAATATATTTTTTTTAAAAATTGTAGATAAACTTGCAAAAGGAGAGTCTGAAATTCGAAATGCAGAAGATGAAGAAAAAGATATTGGTATAGATATGAAAAATGATAAATTAGACGATTCTGCTACAGATGCTTCAGATTATGTAACAGAAATTCCTGATGAACCAATTGATGCAAAATTGAAAATTCCATCATATAAGCATTGCAGAACACATCAATTGTCTATTGGCAAATCTTTAGTAAAGGAAGTCAATGGTTATCATTGTGAAAGATGTCGACGATTTATGCTTACAGAAGAAGATATGACTGCTCATCTTCGCAGTATTACTCATTATCGTAATTTTATTCAGGAAATAAAAACTTTACAAGCTGCTGCTGAAGTTATTGCTAAAACAGAACAAGAAAATAAAGAGGTGATTCGATATTTTAAATTATTTACCTTTTTATTATTATAATCTATTCTGTGATTAAATTATTTAGTATATAAATTGTATTTAATGTTTTTATATATTTATTTTAAGTTTTAAAATAGAAGTGAAAAAATACATGTATTTTATGAATTTATCATTTGCTTAAAAATGTTAATGAATTTCAGGTTAATAATCCAGACGAAATACAACGTAATGATGAACCTGATACAAAACGTGTAAAACTCGAAGAAAGTGTAATTTTAAAGAATGAGAACGAAGATACTTCAACTAATGAAATTGAAGAAAAACATGAAGATGAGGATGATAAATATGATCCAGAAGAAGTAAATGATGAAACAGACGAAGAAATTATTGAAGATGAAAATCAAGATTGTCCAAATGATGAATCTAATGAAATATCATTAACTGAATGTGATGATAATATATTAGAAGAGTGCAATGAAAATGAAAACGATGATAAAGATGACTTATCTCAAAAAAATATACAAATTAGCTCACGAACTACCCAGCGCAATGTTTATAATCAACGAGCACGTGGCAATCGTGCTAGAAGATCTCGTAGATAAGATGTACATTTTATAAAAATTAAAAAAAAAAATGTATGTCAATTTTAAAACTAAATATTTAAAGTTTATTCATATTACGTATATTTAATAGTAAATAAACAATAATTTTATTCATTTTAGTATTTGAGAATGAAAAATTACAGTGTATGTAAAATGTGGACTTCATACGACTTTTATTGTTGATCTTTTATAAAATAATTGTATATTATAAATAATTTTCTGTATTTTGATAATTGATTAACATAACATTTAATACATACAAACGTATACATTAGCTGCATTGGTACACATAAAATATTAGTTAAGTTATTTCAACTTTATTTTATCAGTGCATCATTTTTGTTACATTATATTAATAAGTGTAGAATTTCCATTCCAATCAGATACACATATTTCTGTATGTTATTTACTGTAAAATGAAATAAACAATATGTCATACGAAACATTTAAATTTATATAAAATTAAACTTGAGCATTATCCATTTACATCAATCCATTAATAAATGAGTAATGAGAAACTCATCTACTGAATCTGTATTCCATTTATGAATATCAAGTATATCTTCTAATTTGTTTTCAGCATCATATAATTTCATTACTGGATCCAAACCTCTAACATACCTAATTTGTAAATTTTTATATTTATTTGGTCGATCACTTTTGATAAAAGCTGAAAATAAGTAATATCAATATAAATAAATTATAATCCCAAAATGTTTAATAGGAATATTTATGGGTATTTTGTCTATTGAATAAGATAGCTTAATATTATAAATAATATAATAAATTAGTACAAATTAAATATTTTAAACCAATTTCAATTAAAATGAATTTAATTCTTACAAATTTAAATAAACAAATTGGTTAAAACATTTTAACTATATTATATATTTTTGAATTACTTTGAAATACATTTTCTTTTAACTTTAAATACAAAAATTTGTATAAATATTTTATAGTATGAAATTTAATTTGACCTACACTCGATGAAGTAGTAATAAACTAGAAATTAAAAAATTCAGATATAAAGTATTTGCTTTATTTTATTCTTGTCTCGCGTAGTTGTTTTTAAAGAAAATTACGATTTGCTCCACTTAAAGTACCATTAAAATATAAAAATGACAAAAATTATTGAATTAAATTAAATGTTTGTTTTTTTTTTTAATATGTTAATTTATATTTTGTCAGTATAGCTTTAATAACAATATAAGTTGTTTGCATATAATAGATACAATTTTTATTACATAAATAATATATAAATTGAGATTTAACTCCAAGTATTGTCAATGAAATAGATAATTATATTTATAATCTAATAGATTCATAAAAAATTATAAAAATTATAAATACTCATTTATGCACATATTAATATTAAGTATAAACAATAATAAATGAGTAATTTCAATTTTTAAAAAGTTTTAAGCATTATAATCAAGCCGAATTACAATTATTAAATACATGTAAACACGCGCATACATCTATAAAAGAAATATATTGTATCAATAAAATCAAATGGGAACATACTAAAAGAATTGAAGTATGCTTAATCAATTCTAAAACATGTTCTGATAGACCTCTTTACACATAAGAATCTAACATATAGTTATTCATCAAAAGAAATAAATTTAATTACATATTCAAAAATAATTAGAATAAATATACATCAATTAGTAATATTTTTTTAAATAACGTATATTTGAAATTTAATATTTTACTATATACATCTGTACATAACATACGGAACATTATTATATTAACTTTGTACTTATTTTTGTCGAAAAACTGCTCTACAAGGAAAAATTAAAATTGATCAATAAATCATTATATAATTTATATACTAAATATTTATTTAATATAAAATAAGTATTAAAATATATCAACAGTTATAAATTCATAATAATGTAGTAAGTATTCACAAAATATCAGTTCAATATTATATGCATTTTTATGCTTAAAAAGTAATATTATTTAAAATAGTTCATTTATTTCAAGTAGAAGTTTTGCACATTGTCAAATAAATTATCAATAGCAAATAAAGTTTTCATGCATTATGATTCACTTTTGTACAGATAATGAAGTTTGTTAACAAAATGATTTTATTAAACTAAAAAATTTAGTGATAAATTACAACACACTTTAGATTACCGCTCAATATTTAAAAATATATTGATAATAAATATATATATATTAGTTTGATATTCATAGTTTTTATTAATAATAATTAATCTCAAAATTCCCATGATTATGTTCAATTTTCTTTATTTCATAGTCTAATTTTAAGAAGGAACTGGTATATTTTTTCTTAATTAGCAAATAAAATAATAAAAAAAAGCATATAATATAAAAAAATATTTAATTTAATTTAATTTAACGATTAACCAAGTTATTTAATAAGTAAACAGGTTATAACATTAACAATTTATGTAATATAAAACGTATTTTTAAAAATTCCAAATATTTATTATAAAAGTGAACAATAAAAACATATTTACCTAATTCAAATTTTTTAAATAAAAATTATTATTATAATACCTGATTAGAAGTAAAATTATTCATAGAATGATATTAATGTATTAAAATATATAGATAGGCAATTAATATAAACAATTTTCTTGTAGAAATTTTTAAGAAATTTTTTTTAGAATTATTTTAATTTTCACATAATAATCTATTTTTTTACAATATATAAATAAGCAACAATTTAATTAAATTTAAAATTGCACTAATATAGCTCCATCTAATAATTTTATTCTAAACATGAGGATAAAAAATGAATTGAAGCATTTAAATTATTTTTACATTTTCTTATTAAATGAATTAGTTAATAAAAAACAATTTTTTAAATTATATAAAAGATTTGTTTTAATTTGTATTTATTATAAAATTAATATATATATATACCATCACTTATATAATTTATTTAAATTTCATTTTGTTGTTATGGTAATTATTCAACAATTCAGTACCTTAGAAATATTTTTATAGAACATATTTACCACGTATAGTAATAAAGTATGTTCCAATTTATATTACTTTTCTGACTCAGTTTCATATATGATATTATCTTTCTGATTTAGTTGAATATATGATTTTATTCTTAAATAAATATTTAATTTTGCTTGAATAAATAGTTTTTCTTATAAATCTAATCATTCTAAATAAATTTAATTTTTAAGTTTTAGTCACTATTGTTTCAAGTAGATCAATAAAGATTACACTACAATTTAATTTAAAAATATAAGCATTTTAATAATTTTAAATTTAATCTTATGTAAGTTATTTAAAAATTAATTGTTATAAATTAACATTATTTCATTAATAGAATGTATATAAATATAATCTTTTAATATATATATAAAAAATATAATTATTTATAAACATTTTATTTATATGTTTATTGATTCAATCAATATCTTTAAACATATTAAAGCAATGAAATAAAACAATATTTAAATTATATTTTATATTTTTAATAAATAAGTAAATAAGATACTTAATTAAAAATAATTTACAATAATAAATCTATGTTTATTAATATTCTAAATACTTATAAACGTCCATTATTTTTACCTTGAATTTGGGGATAAGCTGCAAATTTACAGGTGCAAACTTCAAGAACAGCTTTTGGCCACTTTTTTAAATTAAAGTTGTCATCTTCATCTTTTAAACAGCATTCCTTGCATATATTACTAAAAGTTAAGACTATTATTGAAATTTAAAAATAAACGTAATATTAATTATAATATCTTATTTTTAATAAAATTTACAAAATCTCATTTAGTTCAAATTTTTTAAATCTGTCACAAGTAGAACAAAACAAATTTGCTTGATTATAACCTAAACTCTTGCAATCTTCGGTTGAAAGATTTGATAATACATCTGTCTAAAAATAAAACAGAAAATCAAAAGAATTATAAAAAACATAGATATGTTTATTAAGTGCAATCATTTTTTAATTTTTTAATCAATCATGATTGAAAATAAAAATAATTCAAATTTTAAAAGAATATGACGATTAAATTGTGTAGTTGAAAAATATATTGTTATAAATACGTTTTCCAATCCAATATGAAAATGATCTACAATTAGAATGCATACCACTGAAATTAGTAGAAACAAATAAAAATATATTAAACTCGTCATTTCTGACATGTTTCAATGTGAAATATATTTATACTTTGATTATTTGTTTACACATTTATTATCACTAAATTAATTCAATTAAAATCACAACTTTAATTTGTTCGAAAATTGAAAATTAAAATTTATAAATTTTATCAAAAATGATTTTACTTAATTAAATTAAGATTATACAAAAAATGTTATATGCACTGTACAACCTAAACTGATTGGCTTTTACAACGTGCTTGTCTATAAGTAATATTAGACATTGCGGTAATTTTAATTTATTTGTGGCGATAGTCTGTGTGTTTAAATATTTATAATACAGATATCTAATTTCATTAAATTTATTGTATCTGTAAAACTTTCATTTAAAATAATTTACTTAGCAAAAATTTATATTAAAATGTTTTAAATTAAAATTAAATTAGAACCATTTTTAGCATATATACTATTAAATGATTCCTATAATTTGTATTCCAATGTGATTCTATATTTTTAAATGAAATAGATTTAAATTAAAATAAAACTGCTTTGATTAATTATATAATATGCTAAATGAATGATTAAATAGCAAATTAAATAAAAATATGAATTATTTTTAAATGGAAAAATTTAAGCACCTTTAGAGCGAATATAATAAAACTATACGGTTATTGGATATCATTAATGTGTTTAATATTAAAACCGAATTATATATATATATATATACATAGTTCTTTAAAAACTATTATTATAACCTGTTATTCCTTAAAAAAATTTGTTATAAAATATATTTAAACATATTCAGTATTATTAACGACTTTTATGTTGCAATGAACATACAAAAACAAAATTTAATTAGTGAACATTTATTTCTTTTCATTTAATTTTATTAAAAAATATATAAAAAATATTCTTCGTTATTCCTCAATTATATTAATTAATTATAGTATTATATTATTGAAAATGTTAACACAGTTGATAGCTTGCTGAATTTCATTTCAAGTACATTAGTATATTATTAATATATATATATAATAAAAGTTGTAATAAAAGTTAATTTTATTGATTTTCAAATATTTAAAATTTCTGCATGAAATTTTGCAGAATGCAGAATTTGAAAACATTGTTTTATTAATAAAAATTAACGAACTGAAAAAAATCGATCATATATTAATATATTTTCTAGTTTTATATTGGTATTTAATTATAGACTTAAGTTATAACAAATCTAATTTTATGTATTTCAAATTTTTTAAGCACGACAAGCACAGCCAATAATGTAAATCTTCAGTATTATTTGCATTTCAAAAGTTTACATACTATCTACGTTCTATACTTCATATCTGTATTTGATTACATCAGCATCAGAAAGAGGTTAATACAATTGTATAATTTTTCGAATTTTTCTTTTCATAGATTAATTATTATTATGTATTTAATAACAAATTATGGCTGATACTATACAAATTTGTATGGAAATACACAAAATATGATTACATAAAAATATCAATATTAATTTAATATTTAAATATATTTCCTAACAGATTTATTGATGTAAATAAGGTTGATTAAATACCTTATAATGGTAGATGAATCAATAAGAAAAACACTGAGTAACATTCCATTATTAAAATCAAATGCAGGGCCTCGAGATTCTGAAACATGGAGTCAAAGATTGAAGGAAGAGTATTTGTCATTGATAAAAGTAAAAACAAATCTTTTATAAATACTAATAATTTTTAGCTGCTACCACCTTAAATATTCTTAAATGTACTTAAAACTATCAAAACATTAATTATAAGATTTATTTATATTTTGTAAATATAAGAGTATAGTATTTTATTAAATAAGAAGTTTATTTATTGTTTGTTTTTACAGTATGTAGATAATAATAAAAAAGCTGATAATGATTGGTTTCGTTTACAATCCAATGAACAAGGTACTAAATGGTTTGGAAAATGTTGGTATATTCATAATCTTTTAAAATATGAATTTAATATTGAATTTGATGTAAGAAAAATATTATAAGTTATTCAAATTCATGTATATAATATCTATTATAAATTATTTCAAAATGTTTTGCAGATTCCAGTGACATATCCAACAACAGCTCCTGAAATAGCACTTCCTGAACTTGATGGAAAAACAGCAAAGATGTATAGAGGAGGAAAAATTTGTTTAACAGATCATTTTAAACCTTTATGGGCAAAAAATGTCCCTAAATTTGGTATAGGTCATGCAATGGCATTGGGGGTAATTTGTATTTATTTTTATATTTTTTCAATAAGATATAACATTTGGACATAAGGAATTTATTTGTATATATAAATTTTTTTAATTATTTTCATTATTTGGTAACAAATACTTTAAAGTTCTAATATCTACATTTTAATTAAGTAAAAATAGTGAGAAAAATTGAACATTGCATAAAGTATGGATTATATTAAAATATCATAAACATTTTTTGCCTTATATTTGTTTGATGATTTACCTATTAACAAGATAAAAGTATACAATTTTAAATTTATTGTTTTAGCTCGGACCATGGTTAGCTGTAGAAATTCCAGAACTTATTGAAAAAGGAATTGTAAAATATAAAAATAATTAAAAAAAATCCTTTATTAGCTTTAATAATAAATTTATAGGTTTTTTCATTCATTAAATTTTCTATTGTTTTTCTTTAATAATTTCATCAATTCTATACATATCTTTTAAAGAAATTTCTCCTGTTCCTTGTTTCATTATTTTTGGTTGTGATTCATCCGGTTTCCAACCAATCATATAAATTATTTGAAAAGTAGCTGGAATATATCTACTTTTATCTTTTTCTTTAATTTTTCCATACAGTTGATTATAAATTGCAGAAGCAGCAAATAAAGTATCTCTACTTAAATGTAATTTTCGGTTCCTTGCTGCATTACTTTCTCCCATGCCTTTTAAAAATAATTTGCAAAATTCTAAAAATCTTTGCAATTAAAATAAAAATGTATATAATACCTTTTAAATCCCACATAAGTTCATACATAGATGGATATCCAATAATTAATTCTTCGGTATCAACTGTGAGCATCGTAAAGCCTGCATCTGTTAATAAAGCTCCAATATCTTTAATATGTGTAAATGGTGATATACGTGGTGAAATTCCTCCATCTCTTTCTAGTTCTGCTAATTGTAAGGAACCACTAAAATTTTTAATAGTTAGATTTATTTAATTTTGATTATTTGCTTTCAATATTATTAAATTATTGTTTTTTTTCAAAATCAAATATTATTATAAATATTTAATTTTATTATAGTAACTAACCGTAATTCATATAATGTATCAGCTCCAAATATAGCAGCCATGAAAGCACCATCTTTTTTAAGACTATTTATTATACAACGAAAACATCCGGGTAAGTTATTTACCCAATGCAAGCTTAAACAACTTATAACAAAATCTAAACTATTAGGTTCTAATACAAATGTTTCTTCATCAAGAATTTGTTTTTCAATTTTTATTCCTTCAGTAGCTTGTGCTTGTTCTAGCCAGCTTGGGCTTAAGTCTGCCAAGATGAGTTTATTAACTGATTCTTTTGGAATGAATTTAGATACATGACCACGTCCACAACCTATGTTCAAGACACTGTTAAATTTTCGTTTAATATCAAATATTCTATCAGAAAGTCTGCATCCAATTTCATCTTTAATATAATCATAAATCTTTACATCAAGAGCTTTTGCTGCTCGTTCTCTTTGTAACAATTTAGAATTTCGATCAAAGACTTGTATATTGATATTATTAGAAGGTATGATTAATGCTAAATTTGTTATTGAAATTTCTTTTTTAATTAGTTTCCGTAATGAATTCATTTTATAAAAATCAAATACTCTGAAAATAAAAACCGAGCCAATTGGATTTCAGTACAAATCACATTTTAATAAACTTATGATATTATAGTTGATGGTAAACATTAAATATCATTATTATTAGTATAGAGATTAAATATTAAATTATACATTTTTAATTTATTTGAAAAGAATGGCAATAATTATATATTATGACAATATATTATGACTATAAATTATATTTTAACCATAAACCTAAAAGAATATATAGACAGCCCGTATAAAATTTTGAAAATAGGTACTACGATTTAGAGAAAAAATATATTTTTCAATTCGGAACTTACGTAATTAAGATTTATGATTATTGGCTTTATCGAACTTATAAAATTTTATTAATTATACATTCTATTTAATGAAATAAAAATATAACATATTTCTACAAAAACGAATTTAGTATAATAAGCATTTTTTCACCCAATCTATTATGTGCTGCTTTATCGGTATCGAGTAATTTGATAGTTTCATTTAAAATCGATAATGGTCCATCGCCGCTTATTTTATTATACTTTATCTTCTTTAGTAATTTTTTATATACTTTTATAAAGATTTCGATAAACTAAATAATTTCATAACTTCCAAATTTTAATTTAATTGATCTAGAGAATCAAGATTTTCCATAATGTTTTAATATTGATTAATTTAATCCACTATTATAATAAGAAAACCAATCTCAAGTTAAAATTGTAAAAGTATAAAATTATATATAATAAAAATAATATATTAATTTCATTCCATTCAAATAAATTTTAAAAGTTATTAATTGTTATTATAAAGTTCAACTGATGATACATTAATACTTAATTTTTTTCTTGCTTTTACGTTCAAACATTTATTTAACGCAATAATGGATTTACGTATTTAAATATGAATTTTGTATCAAATATGTATTTATAAAATCACAAATATTTATGATTTATACATGATTATACATGTTAAACAGTTATACATGTTAAAAATATAATTTTTTCTTAAATTACTTTTAAAAAATAACTTAAATAAAGTTAACAATTTAATGCTATTGTTATTTTATTATATCCTGCCTCAATTCTTATTCCTATGTGTATTTTTATTTATATTGTTATGACTTTAAAAAATGATACATTTTTACAATTTTGTGAAAATCTAAAATGTAATGAATCTAAGTTTCTACTTTGCTACTTTAACTGCTTTCAATTCCTTTTACCTATTCAATATTAATACAAATTTACTTATCAAACTTAAAGTTTTAAATTTTCGAGCTAAACATTTTTTCGAATATTATTAAATGCAAAAGTTAACGAATTATGATTCATAAATATAATAAAATACTTTTTTTGAAAATAAATAAGACACCAAAATATTCATTAACTGGTATTCGTTGCATTCTTATTAACTCTAACTAAGTAGTTTGCTTCACTTGCTATGAATGGTGCTAATATATGTGTAAAATATCGAATGTAGCTTGAAAATTGTTCAGAACGTCCGATCTTAAATTCTGAAGAATACTATATAAGATATAGCAAAATTTTAGCAGAACAGACTAAGGCTCGGTAGAACAAGGAACATAAGGAAACAGTCGTATACAGCTTAATAAAACTATACATTCTTAAAATGTATTATTGGCATGACATAATATGCCGTCATTAATAAATGTTTTCGAAATGGAAAAGAGAAAAATAAATTTGACATTTATGAAAAAAATAAAATGTAAACATTATTTACAAATATTTAATGCCATCTGAACATGGTAATCCATATTTATATTTAACTGTATTAAGCTGCGAATACAGTTTTTAACCTCTTATATGCAATATACATTTTTCACTTTTCATACTATATATTTTTATACAAGTGTTCTAGTAAAGTAGAAATATTTTTGTGTTTTAGTGCTAATTTTAAAAATTAAGAAAATGTAAAACATGATTGTGAGTTATTAAGTTTTATGAAGTTTTATTAATTTTACATCATTCCTTTTTACCTTAATTTATTACATTCTCATTATATATATATTATGATACAGTGGTATCAGAAGTCTAAATAGAATAAAAATGATATGCTCATAAATGATTAAATGTAAAATTTATTTTAACTACTCAATTCTAATAAAAAATTATTTATCAATATTATTCAAATTATAGACTTTGTTCTTTACAATACGACTCCGAAATCCTTCCATACAATAACAAGATATATCAATATCATCAATAATATTTTACTTTCTTTTCCTAGACATAGTGACTTCTTGTTGGATCTACAATTAGTCAGACATTTAGGACAATTGTTGAATAAAAGATGATTAAAATAAATAAAAAAACATAATTTGATATAAAATTTGATGTTTAATATATATATATGATATCTAATTTCTAAAAATAAAAATATATAACAATAACTTATAAGAAGTATTTACAAAATATTCATTTTTTTTAAATACAATTTTAATTTGATATAAATAAATAATAAGATAAATTAATAAAATATTTATTTATTTTTTTACATATTTTTTAATAATTAATATTATCAAAACTGAAGAACTTATATATGTAACGATTATTTACAATTAATTGAATAAAATTTTAGAAAATATTCTAAGAACTTCTTATATTGAAAGGGATAATATGTTTGATTTTTTTATTTTTTAGTACTGAAGTATTCATTTCATTATCATATTGATTCTAGTACAATTCAATAAAAATTGGAAATATCTTAAATATTTATATATAAGAATGTCAAATTTATATAGTTTAGATAGTACTAGGAAATTCAGAAGAACAAAATTTTGCTTTTTATACAATTTTAGACGTGAAAAATACTTATGTTATTTTGCAGTAAAATTCGAAAAAATTAAAATCTTTATTGTAATAGATAGCTAGATTGTTACGACGGCGTTGATGCTCCAATATTCCATAACATTCGAAATGGAAAGTTAGGCTTAAAAAATCACTAAAAATTAAGTTGTGTAGGATAATTAATGAATATATAAAAATAACAAGAATAGCAGATTTACAGAATTTTTGTCGAAGAAATTGTATCAATATTAAATCTATCTTTATTCGAGATTCCAAGAATCTGTCGAATGTTATCAATTCTGAGAAAACGCCAGCGGTTATAACTTCTAGGAAAACTAACTACACAATCACCTCCATTGATTCTGGCACCACAGTCGCATCCATTATTTCTAGCACCATAATTGTTTCCATTGTTGTCAGTTAATCAAGATGCCACTTGAATATTTAAGGCAAGCGCACTACGAGGCCCAGAGTAGTAGATTTTCAGTCACTGAGTAAGCCAGTCAGTAATGCTAGTCAGCCATGCGTTCACCTATGAGGGGCTAGTCGGCTAGCAAGCCATGAACGAAGAAGAACGCGTCAATTCTTCTGTATTACAAGATAAGGGTTTGACAATATCTCCTACGTATAAAAAAACTACCACAATCATCATAATATCAGGCCAATGCTACCGTATCTCTGTAAGTAAAACATAAATATAATAAATGATTGCTAATCCTTACACGATTAGGAAAGGCAATTATAAATAGAAAAACATACTCAATAATACGGAGTGTGCATGATCAGTCGCTGATCCTTACAAAATCAACAACATCATCAGCATCAAGCAGCATTTCGTACTAGGTAAACTATTCACCACAGGATCAGTTCCAACCAACTGAATCGTAGTGATTGAACAAAGTATAATACACCTTTCCATCGCATAAATCCAACACATTAATAATCCAATTGTAAATAAACAATAATAAACAATTACATTAAAGACGTAGTAAGCATAAGGCAAAAATTATCTTTGATAATTGACTTCATAATTTATTTCGAGTATTCTACTAATTTATATAAGAGATATATTAGATTGTTAACATCGTAAAATATATTAACTTAATAATCATAATATAAATTTCAAAATCAATAATGTAATAAATATTTATTACAACGAATACATGTAATTTTTAGTTAACTTTTTACTTTAAATATTTACTAAATTTTACAATAATTTTTTAATTTTTATATATTTAAAATAATATAATTAATAAAACATAAGTACTCAATAAATATAAGTCAATACATTATTTTAATATTACTTTATTACTTATAATTAATATATAATATACTTAGTAATATATGAATATACTATTAGACAATAGTGATCGCCACGTATTATTTACAGTTATATGATGCATTTTTAAAACTATAATATTAATAATCATATAACTAAAATTGAGTTATTTTACATTCAAGTAATTTTTTCATCAATGTCGATCATTCATTATTTACTAAAGTAGATATAGTTTCTATTTTTATTTATCGATAGCATCATTCTCATGCTTCTATTTACAAAATGTAAAAAATTTTAGTACTTCATTAAATGAAATATTTTTAATTTTATTATTTATTAAAATATATTTTGTAAAAATTTTAAATAGAAAATGGATATTTTTATAAATACCCGAATTAATAATATAATTTAGTTTCAAGACTATTTTACATATATGTTCAAATAATATTAAAGTCAGTCATAATATATTTTTCAAGTAATATTATTCAATACATATATGCTGTTGCGTGTCGCAAATTTTTATTTATATATATATATATATATATATATATATATATATATATGCAATTAAGAATGTATATTTACACACACCCACTCACAAACGAATGTTTATACAAAATTAAGCAATATAATTTATATATCAATATTATTGCTGGTAAATGTGTATTTTTATCATGTACTGTATATTCTGTACTTTTATAAAATTTTATTTCGAGACAATCTAAATTAATGATTACTTATTAAAAATACTACTAGTATGGTTGTTTGATATTTTTATAGTATTAATTCATTAAAAATTTAATATTTAAAATTTTAACGAACATGCTTACATGACTTATTATTTGATACAATCATGATTACAATGTTCCAAGAATTAATAGTTTTCCAATTTAAAGTTTTAAAAACGTAATTTTTAATTAATATAAAAAGTGAACAATTTCATATTATTTAAACAATTTATATTACTTTTGAAAATTAATCTTTTTTTAATTTTTATTTCGAATGCGGGATTACGTATTATAATTGCACAATTAATTTTATATTTTCTTTATTAATATACCATGTCCTATAGATTTCAAATTGAATTTATATAAAAATACTATATTCATAATGATTTCTTAAAGAGAAATAAAGTTTCATGTACAATAAAAAACTTTCAATTATATTTTTAATGTACAAAAAAAAATTGAGTTAGCTTTATATTATGATCTGTATAAATGCGTGTATTTCAAGAATTTATATTTCATTACCGATCATATAGTATTTGCAGCGATTTTTTGAACAATATTTCCAAGTCTAGACATATTTATCTTTTTTTGTAATTATTCACGTAATCTAAATTAAATTTGTCTACTAAACGATTAATCATATATTTAAATAATTTCTTATCTATAGCTTTCTCTTATATTAAATATGGTTATACTTAACATATCAATATTAATTTGAATTTCACTGTCTCATACATCTCAATTATTATTATACTGAGCAAAAATACTGTTGCAATTTATATTTTTCTATCAATATATATTCTTTAATTTTTAATGAATATTCATAAAAAATTTAAAAATTAAATTGCATAATATTAGATTTGTTAATATTGTATGTAAAATAAATAAAAATTCAAATATTAATATTTTTACTCTATGACTTTAATAGGCTAAAGTTATCACTTTAAATTATACAAATTAACAGAAAATAATATTCAGTTTTATTATCAAAAATTAAATATCTCATTTTATCATCACAGAAACTATAATAATTGATTATTCAACATTTTTCATTTTTGTTACCTTTTAAACCTTACATAAGTATTTTACATGTATATTATAATATAGTATGTAAATTATATGTAAATTAGTATCTATGACTATATTATATTTTGTTCTTAATTTACAATGTTTACAAAAAGGGTGTTATGAAATGTATTTTAATCATTTCTTCTCTTATTTCCTTAATTTACATTCTGGGAATTTACTATTTTTTAATTACTATTTTAAAGAGTTATAAACAAATGTTGTCATTATTACAAATTTGCAAATCACTTTTGATAAAAACTTTTAGGAACATTTATTTTTATGATAATATGCAAACTTTCGGTGGCATAATCTTAAGATTAATGTCTACTAATTTGTATGAGTTGAATCGGAATGGCTAACAAAAAATAATATAATAATAATTTCAAAAAACTATATCTACAATTATACATGTCACTATTACTTTATGGTATATTATTTATAATACATAAATGAAAATTTGTACATTATTAAAAAATAAATATTTACAATATTATTTTTTTAAATTTTGAATTAAATTTAGAGTCGTTTTATAACTGTTTATATCAGATTGAATAATGGTTAAGTTTTCACTAATATTACACTGATATTTCACGAATATATAGTATTTTCTATTTATTACAGCAAGAATAGTATAGAATAGTATAAGCATTTAAAAAATGTCTATTTACAATAAGTGTTACTCTTTATTCTTTTCATTATAATCATCATTCGTTTTTCCTCTAGTAAATTTAATTAGTTGAAAAATGAAGATGTTTAAAGTTTATGATAATGAATGATATATCAAGATTTGCAAAGTGAAAGTAAAGACAAATTTAACTCTTGTGATCACTCAGACAATTCTGTTCTAGCAGTTACTATTTCTGGTCATAACAAGTCTATTTAATTGATAACGTTGGTTTTCAGAACTGCTTATCGAGTTAATTCTTGATGTTTTGTGCTGTGAATAAACATCCAATTTTATAAAACTATAAATTTTCTGAAACATTCAAATTAATTACACTAATTACGCTAATTTATTACAACTTAAACGCATTCAAATTTTGAATCATTAAATTTGTTATAACAAGTCATTTAAATTTTATTAAAATATATATAACTTTATTATGATATGCAAAATAAAGAACTTTTTATTTGTAGATGCCAATTTAATTTCAAATTTATGCAATTTTTACCTTTTGAAAAAGTTGATATATGAAATTAAAATTCATTCTTAATTAAATAAATTAAACTATAAAATTTAATTCAAATTAAAATTATAATAGTTTATTATGCATGTATTTTTTCAATATTTCAAAAATTAAATACATTTTTATAAATATGTATCTCATAGGAATTTTTAATCAAGAAAAGTAGTATTTTTTGGAAAATATTGATTAAATCTATCAGCAAATTTTTTAAGTGCAATTTACAACAAATATCATTAATTGAATGTTTCATATTTATTAGAAATGCTGTATAAACAGATTTAGCTTTCCTCTATTTAACAACTTACCTTTACAATGGTTATGCCTGTGCATATTCTTAGATTTGAGAGATAGGCAAGCATCTTGAGGGACTCTAGAGTAATTACTATCAACACTGAAAGTTGGTGAAGGTAATCCAGTTTGTTTTATAGGACTCGCATTGTCACATACTCGAGGGTTAACACTGCAATTATTTGAATGACTTGCACATAACGAAGAATTTATTTGAAGATGTGCTGGTACAAACTTATTATTATACTCTATTGTATCAGCGTATAAGCAGCTTGATTCTGAGCAGGAATAACAAACATCTGAGTGAGTATTAGATTCACAAGATTTGCGGTCCCAGTCGTCATTTTCCTTTGGATAATGATTATCAGTATGAAAAGATTCTTCATTTTGTTTGATTCTATCAAATGTATCATGGGTATGGCAATCTCTGGTTTTTATAAGACTATTATGATGCCCATAAATAAGTGAGCCACTTTCATATTCATTTTCTTGAGCTTTGTATACATCGTAATGACTAAAACCTTGTGGAAAGGATGGCACTGGTGGAGGATTAGTTTGAGGTGGTAGACTAGTGTATCTAATTTGCTGATGATTTGTCGAATCATGGCTACTATTCCATGATGTGGGTAAAAGCAAAAAATTATTACTAGGTAATCTAATTGGAGGAGTAGGTGGACTTTCAATTTTACTGGTGGTACAGTCAAGGATATTTTGAGTATTGGGGCGTTTGCTAAAGTGTGGACTAAAAGTAGCAATACTTTGTTGGTGCACACGATTTGGGAGCGAATTTTCAGGAGTTGGTGGGTGTTCTGGAGGTGGTGGTAGCATATCACACCAATTGGGTAGTGGAATTGACTGCAAATCTTGTTGCTGTTGTTGAATTTGGGACAGGAAACCATGATGTGGTTGACGACGTTGATATTCTATAGTATCATCGGTATATATACTACTTGCATTATCACTACTCGGAGACATGGTGGATTTGTTGTGTTCTTGTGCAGATTCAAGACTTGAATAATCAGGTTTAACACATGAGTCACTAGAATTAGACTTCTGGCCACTTGTTTCTATAGACTCAGAAGTACAGTTGGTGACACAAAGAGTTGTAGTGGCATAAGGTTCGGGTGGGGCTGAAGGTTTTCTCGTATTATAAAAAGTCGTAAGATTAACTTCAGCATATTCTGAACTAGGTATGCCAATAACATTTGATCCAATCATGTGGTTATTTAGAAGTTTAGTTTCGCAGTCCTTATCACCAGTGTGTTGAAGACTGTTCGTTGGTCGCCATCCACGTTCCAACCATAACGAATCTTTATTCAATTGACAAATATCGTTCGCAGTGCTAACTGGTACATTGAGATGTCCAAGCTGCTTGTTAACTGCTTGTCGGCGTCTTAAATAAAATGTTCCCATAAGTGCAGCTATTATACTCAAAATCATCATTATCATAAGCATGAGGAACCAAGTCTCACTAACGATGGAGCTATTGCCGCGATTCGAATTACTTCGAGGTGGCTGTTGGTGTAACTGCTCTAAATCCATATTCAGAAGTGTGGGAATAGAGAAGGGACCAGAACCAATATGTGTTAATCCAGCTACACGAGCAGTATAGATGCCCCCACTGTTCAAACTATTAATTATTACAGATGTTGTTGATGCATTTAAAGACATTTGACCCAGAATTTTATTACTGCTATTACTCTTAATTTGGATCTAAAAATAACAAAAATTTTATTAAAAAAAAAATATTAAAATTAGTTTTCAAAATATTACAAATTATACATGTATGAACATTTGAATAAACAGTTAATGATAAGGTTTTATATACTACATATCTGTGAAGATCTCATATTCATTAATTTTGTTATTGTAATTGGATGGACTTGGATAGTCTTTATATAATTGCATGTTCTTCTAAGTTTGTAAAATTTGTATATAAAAATATCAGTCATAAATATGCGAGTTAGCCTCCTAGAATATTGTACAGATCACTGATCTCTATTAATTACCTTATAACCAATGAGTTGCCCATTAAGTTGAGATTTTGGTGGTGGCGCCCATCTAACAAAGGCAGAAGTAGAATTAATCATTCCTACGTGAACATTTTCGGGTGGACTGGAAGGAATATCTTCTTGAGTCATAGCTAATTTAACGTTACTTGGTCGACCCTCAATGGTCTTATAGAATGGTACAAGGAAGAATTCATAACGTGTGTATTTCTTTAAGTTTGTCAAAACGTAGCTAGTCGCTCCTGCATTCATAACAGTAACCATTTGATATTCGGGTGGCTTATCTGACATTTCACGATAACGAATATACATTCCATCGACTAAATCTGGTGCACCAAGTATCTAAAAATATCAGTTTTATAATTTGTTAAAAAAAATTTATAAAATAAAAAATAAAATTACACTTACATTCCAAATAATTTTCATAGTTGTACTGCTTAAAGGGATTACTTCATTTAGTTGTAAAATTTCGTTGTTTAAACGGTCACGAGCACGAATTAGTTCATTTTGAGATAAGGTATGTTGATCATTGCTCAATGTATGAGCAACGTCAGATAATGGTCCAGGAAGAGACAAACCATGATCATTTTCTACTCGAACTAAGAAAACGTAATTGGTATCAGGCCTTAAATCAGTTACCTGTTTGTAATTAAAATTTGTTTTAATTAGTATAATAAAAATAAACGTGATAATGATTTTAAAATATAATAAAAAATTTGATCGCATAGAACATTTGATATTATGCAAAATATACATTATTTATTTTTATTAATTATATATAAAATTCATAATGCTAATTAATATTTTTTATTTAACTTGATTGAAATAGGTATTGTAAAATTATTATACAATAAAGTTATAAATTATGTAATAATATAATTTAAATTACATAAACAAACAAATATTATAGTTTGATTAATAATGTTATTTTTATTATTGATAATAACAATAATAAGCAAATTTTTATTATTGATTAAAAACATTATTTTCACACTTACATTTTATATTTAACTAGTAATACGTTTCTTTTATTATAATTGTTTTAATTTTTTTATTGTTTTAATGACTGTTATTTTGCAATAATAAATATAAATAATTTATTATATTAATTTTATAGTAAAATAAATATTTTTTACATTAAAAAGATATAGAATAATTAAAAATAGTAAATTAATATATTGTTTTATATTTGTTAGATTTATTACAGTAATAAAAAATCTTTAAATATTATTTAAAAATCTTTTTAACGCATATACAAATGCAATTTGAAACTTCAAAATTTCAATACTCAATTATTATAAAATTAAAAATATTTTAAAGTTAATATAAATAATCTTTTGATTCTTACTATATATGTATCTTCAATAATTCTATTTGTCGCTATAACCCATCCAGTATTTAAGTTACTACTAAAATATTCTACATGATAACCAATGATTTTACTAGATCCTTCACGCCCAGGGCTCCAAGTGATAGTGATAGAATTACTGGTAGTATTAACAATTCTTGGTTTACTAGGGTTCTGTGGTAAATCAGAAATGTTGGGTGTAGGATGTAGTGTAATTATAGAACTGACTTTTAATGCTGCAGACCATGAAGTATTGCCAGTATCAGAAGAAGCGGTGCACGTATATATTCCCATATCATTTTTCTGTAAATCATTAATAACAAGGGTACCATTGTTTAAAATCGTAATTCGAGGATCTAGTCGAATGGGTTGCCCGTTTTTATGCCAATTAATCTTAGGCATTGGATTCCCAATTGCGCGACACGGAAAGAAAGCAGTACTTTTAAGAATTAAAGTTTGATTGGTCGGGCCTAACTCAATTATAGGTGGAGGAATTTCTTCAGTTGATGTTACCTGTTAATTTAAAAATACATTAATTATGTATAAAGTGTAGTTAATTAAAAAGTATTTATAGCTACACATTCAGTTATATGAGAAAAATATGATCACTCTACCGGCCGATTTAGCAATAATTACAAGATATGAAAGTAATTTGATATAGTGATATAAAGTTAAATATTTATTGATAGTATTTGTTTCAAAAAAAATATATTTTTGAAGTATCTTATTTTTAATGTATAAGTATTAGTTTATATTACTTTCAAAAAATTATTTTGTATTGTTTACATCTTTGTCGAAATATAAATATCTATAATGTAATTAAACTAATTATTTCATTATGTATTTTATTAAAAAAATTCATTTTAGTAATTTATAAAATATTGTTGTAAGAACATATTAAATACAAATATTTTTAATAACCAATCAAGTTTTTAAAAATATTTTAAATTAAATTTGTAATATTTTTAAAGTTAATAAATAAATTTCAATTAACTCACGCTAAAAAATGTTAGCATATATTTAACAGACTTGTTTTTACTAATTATAAAATTTAAATTTTTATTTAATTAATTTTTTTACCAGAATAATTTTATTATATAGCTGTAAAATATTTAATACAAAAATTCTAATTTTTTTAAAATACCATTTTAAAAAATATGTAAAACATATTACATGTTGAAAAAATTATAAATAATATAAATTATTTTCAAAATATATATAGTTAATAATCTTTGAAATTAAAATAACAAAATTTAAAAAAGTAATAGACACTAACTGAGAGAAAAACAGTAGCAGTAGTCGCACCAACTTGACTGATGGCACTACAGACATAGTGTCCTTCGTCTTTACGTACGATCTGTTTAATTTGTAAGCTGCCATTTTCATTAACAACATATCGCTCCTGATAATAATGACCGGGAAACATGAGTTCTTGGGAACCCTCTCGTGTCCAGAAAATTGAAGGCAATGGAACACCATGTGCCGAGCACGCAAATGTCACATCTGCACCTTGAGCTACCGATTCATCTTTTGGAATGTTTATAAAACTCGGCCGAGCTATAAAATATATTTTTATCAATTATATAAATTAATTCTTACATTTTTTAATGTAATTCAATTAACATTTTTTATATTAAAACTGCAAATGTATTTTTTTTTATTTTTCTATTTACTACTTTACAATTAAAATTTTAATATTTTCGGTTTTTATTATTATTCATTTTCATTTTCAAATATAACTTTAATATAATACAATTAGTAGATATACATAATATAATTTACATAATTTTATCCATTAATGAAACTTTTTATATTTATTGTAGTATTTGTATTATCATATTATTTAAAAAATTGTGGATTTCTACATAATTTTGCATAGTTATTAATATTTTTATTATACTATCTATCATTTGTTAATATGAATAAGAAATATCTCAATCAATTGTATAATGTTTTATCTTTGAAATGATTATTTTGAAAATTAATATTGCATTATCAATTAAAAATGAAAAATTAAATCCATAATTATTATACTTTTTTATGTGTCTATTATTCCATGTATTAACAAATACTTACAGAATACAGTGAGAGTAGCATTAGCAGATATGGTACCAACTCCATTATCAGCTTCACAAATATATGTGCCTTGATCTGTTGACAAAACTCTATCAATCCTTAGACTCTTATCATCTAGAATATGCCCTCGTCCAATCGGCATTTTTCCATCTTGTCTACGCCAAAGTATTTCTGGTGAAGGGTCACCTCCAACTCGACATGCGAATTCTACTGTTTGATCTAATAAGATCGTTTGGCTTAATGGCGTTTTTATAAAATATGGTTTCACTAAAAAATAATTACATTTTAGAAAATAAGTTATTTTTATTACAATTAATAATGCAGAATAATTTTTATAGCATATATTTTAAAATTAAAGAAGTTTCCTAGTTATTTTTGGTATAGATAAAAATATTTTAATGATATGAAGAATCCTAATATAATTAAATTTCAGAATTAGTGTGATGGTAATTACCATTTACAGTTAGTGTTGCAATAGTTGATTCACGAACACCAACAATATTTGAAGCAATGCATTGATATTGTCCTTGATCGGATTGCTTAACATCAGACATTAAAAGATTTCCTGCATCAACAAGTGACATCCTAAAGAGTATAAATTAACCTATTATGTATTAGTTATCTATTAGTTATATTTCTATTGTAATGATAAATTATAATATTAATAATCTAATAATAATAAAATAAAATATATTATATAAATTTGAATTATTCTTATTATTATTGTGAATTATAATAAATATTAAGTATTCATATATAAAAAACAATTTTTTACACTAAATAAAATACATTTTCTAAATATTACATATATTATCTATTTAAATAATATAAAATAAATATAGATATAGTAAATATAAATAAAGCCATAAATAAGTATAAAAATTACTATATTCTTAAAATTTTAATCCAGCATTAGTTTATTTTTCCTATATATAATTATATATTACTGAAATATTATAAAACCTCTTGATAATGTTGTATATTTAATTTAATATATTTAATTTAATTTTATATATTCAATTTAATTTTGTTTATTTTATTCAATTTTATATATGCAATTTAATTTTGTATATTTAAATGAATAACTTACTTTTTTTTTTATTGACTTCATTTTTGTATTAAATAAGAGTAAAAATGTAATCATAATCATATGAACAAAAATGTTACTTAGAATAAAAAGATATTTTTCAAAAATATATGTTGCTAATGATATTTGTAACAGCGATATTTCCAGCTTACCGTTTATTGCTATCAAAATCTATAAAATGATCGTTTTTTTTCCATTGTACTATAGGCTCGGGATGTCCTCGTGGTGGACTACATTCTAACAAAGATGTCTCTCCGGCAGCTACTCGGGTATTCTGAGGTTCTTGGCGAAATTCATCTCGCAATACTACACCAATTATAAAAAGAATGGTTTAATCTATATATATATTTATGTTTCATTCAATGTAGGCATATGTAGAATTAACTTAAAATACGTTCAAGTTTTCAAATCAATGTGTTAAGTATAAAAAAATTTTAATTAAAATGAATTTGTTTCTCAATATTTTTTAAAAAATACAATATTGATATTGATTGTAACAAATCTAAAATATAAAAGTCTGATTAAATATACATAAAAGTTATTTTAATAAAAATTTTATTATTTACATATTACATATAAACATGTTATTTGTATAGTTACATCCGATTCCTCTGAGTATAAGCAGAGTAATATTTTTACATAAATTTTATTTTAATTTTCGAATTAAGCAACAATATACTTATATGTTTTTAAATAATTGTTCTTAACTTTTTAAAAACTATAAATTTTATCACTATAATAAACATAGGTAAAATCGATATCCCAGAGAAAATCATAAAGTGTTATCTGCAAAATTTAGTGCACCGTTAATTGATAATTCAAAAATAAATATATAAATATTAAAAACAAGTCTAAATGACAAACACATTTAAGAACAAGAAACGAACGATTTATGTTACATTATTGTATAATAAATATATTCAATTATAATAAAAACTTTTTAATTTTAATTTAGTTTGTAAAGTTAATATTTACTTGAGTTAAATCTTAAAAATTAAATTAAATTATTTTAAATAAAAAAAACTTAAACTGTATCATTGGCAATGCAATAAAGCATAATGAAATATTTTTCAAAAATAAAATTTTTTGTTAAAGAAATTTCAAGACCTGCAAAAAAAAAATATATATATACAAGTATAATAAAAAAAACACTGACGAATGCTAACATCAATTATAGAGCGGGTAGTGTTTCTTCTATCTATATTTTCAATTTCAAAAATGTATGAATTCACAAAATATTCTTCGTGTCCAATTTTTATTTTTAATTTTATGTATATTTAGGTATTTTATTGCTTAGCTTCATAAATAAATTTTGGTTTCTTTATATTTCTTGATTAATTTTATATGGAATAAGTACTTTAAGAATTGTAAAAATCTATAAAACTATACAGACAAAATGGGTTTTGAATAAAATCTGACGCTTTCATGTCGATAAAAATATTAGTTATTTATATTTGTTCTCAATATAAGTTAATCTAGTTAGTTTAGTTAATAAGTTAGTCTTTCACCATTAGAATTATTAAACATATTCATATGATTCCGTCTATTTTGTTGTCTATTATGATTTTTATTTCGTTATTAAACTTCATTTCAAATCAAATACTTATTTTGATATAATCAAATACTTATATCAACCTATTGTTGCGAAGTAACTATTGTGCTGAAGTAAGATATGATTATTTGATTAATACATAGTTATCCTTATCCCATTTATTGGATTTTTTAAACCATATAAATTTTAATTGATTTTATTGTAAGAATCAAGTTTTAAAAAACATATGCTGTTCGAGAGTGGAAATAAAATCTCTCGAATTATGTTTACTAGAAAAACTTTCAACAGCTGATAAAAGAGAATTATCGAACGGATACAATAATCTAAGAAAGTCTCGCTAAGGTTGCATGAGACTCGAAAAGGTTTATACATCTGTGAACTCGTAAACAGCCATTTATTGCGTTTTGTACTAAAGACGTAGTAATTGTTTTGAATGCAATGAAGACCCTTGCGACTTACCATCAAAACCCGACTAGCTTGTTTACAAGATTATATTTTGAGGATTAAAATATTTCAAAACAATTGAATGAAAAACATTTCTTAAAATCTGTTGCAACCCGAAACTCGGCACGCGCGACGCTCGACAATCTGCGTCGCACGTGTGCCTTCAATGCCAACAGCAAGCATGCATTGTTGTCAAGTTGTCAAATATTGCTGCTTGCATAGACCAAGCGAAGACGCATGACCAAAGACCACCCCCACCGCGATGAGTCCCGGAGAGGGGCAAATCTTCCACTTCACGCATTGCCGCCAGAGATACCCCTTCGATATTCTCATTGTCTAAGCCTAATTTCTTATTTAGACTTTGTATTTAGACACTTAGTAAGTGGGAAAAGGGCGTGCACATTCACCATCCCGCCGAAAAGCGGCGCGCCCTAATTGGAAAACTAAGACCAGAAGCTCCTTGAGTGGGGACACATGGCAAGAGCCCTTAAAGATGGGAACAAGGCAGCGAAAAGTCGCTTTCCGCGGGGGACAATTGGAACACGCTGTCCACGTGGGCAGCCAAGTACTGTCCGCAGAGATAAATCAAGAAAAGGCTCGAGTGGGCAGTCTAGGGCTATCTTAAGAAAAGTCAAGTAATAGAAATTAAATGTCCATAGAAGCCAAGTCTAAAGATCATTCAACGAAAAAATAAGTGCTAGTAATCAGATCAAGATTACTGCATCCTGGTGAGTATAAGAGTCACGCCGCATGCGCTTGCTCTACCGAGTGCAATTATGTCCAACTCACCGCTGGATCAAATGAAGATTATTGCATCCCTGTGAGTATAAGAGTCACGCCGCGGGCGCTAGCTTTGCCGCGTGCAATTGTGTCCAACACACCGATGGATCAGATTTAAACTACGATATTGCTGTGAGTACGCTAATACACTTTATCTATTCAATTATTGTTAGCCGGCGGCAAAACCGGCTCAAGAAAACCATTAGCATTATCTCACACTCTGGCAAGAAGTGCGCAGTAATTATTTACCTGTGCAATTTTCAATTCAACATCAATTCAACGATTTCAAAGCATCTTGTGTAGTAATTCATCCTATATAAGAAGCCATTCAAGAAATCGTATCTTCACATAAGATTTAAGACAATTCTACAACACCCATATGTAAATTGTGTAATAAATTGTATAACAAAAGTATAATTAACCAACTCTCACGACTCTTGTATAGCCCCTATATCTCACTCCATCCCGAGCGTCTGCTAGGGCGGGCGGCAAACTAAGCTATTGAAGGATTGGCAGTTCGAGCCAAGTCACTATAATTTCGAACATATGCTGTTATATAAATATATAAAAATTCAATTTATTACACAAATAATTGATATTACATAATATAATTTATTTCGATACTTATATATCACTATAATCACTATAATCGAGCCACATCACTATAATTTCGAACATATGCTGTTATATAAATATATAAAAATTCAATTTATTACACAAATAATTGATATTACATAATATAATTTATTTCGATACTTATATATCACTATAATCACTATAATCGAGCCACATCACTATAATTTCGAACATATGCTGTTATATAAATATATAAAAATTCAATTTATTACACAAATAATTGATATTACATAATATAATTTATGTCGATACTAAACAAATATAATATTTAAAGCATTGAATAAAACCAAAAAGTCACTCATTCGAACGTTATTTTTATAGTTAAATATTTCACTTTTTTCTCTCATTTTCATTCCATTAAACTTCATTATCTACATAAATTCATATAAATATCTAAATGATCTAAATACTTTAATTTAATGTTATCTTTATTTGACAAGGAATAATTTATATTATTATTATATTAAAATAGTATTTCTAATTATTTAAAAATGTAATCGTAAATTGTAGAATTATTCTAATGAAGCGAGGGCATGAAATTATATCTACCACAAAGAACATTTTTAATTCTACATTAGAATACATTATAATATAACAAACCATAAAAAATAGTTTATAAATAATAACATTTTAGATAACTTACGCCTACGTTGTCTACTAGATTCAATAAATATACTTTTATATTTATTTTCGTGCAAAAGTGTAGATAGTTAAAAAGAGATTTAGAAAAAAAATATGTAAAAAAAAGAAATAATGTATGTGTTACTGTAATGGTAATTTGTTAATAAAATTGTTTGGATATGTTTAGATTGTTAATATCGATCAAATTAATAAATATAGTGATTCATATAATTGTTCATTTATGTGAGAAACTTAATAACTTACTCAAGTTATTTTTATTAATTCTTTTTGACAAATCAATATTTTATTCGTTCTATTAATAAATAAATGTCTCTATAACTGATCTGATTATATACAATTTTTTGAATTACTGGAAATTATAAAAACCAAGTTACTTAATAAAATAATTTTATTTAATAATAGCGAAACTATATTCCCATTACATTTCATCATTTTTTTCGCATCTTTATATTTTAAAATACTACTAATTTTTAAATTAGATTCAATTCTTTTGGTAAAAGCTGTATTGAATATAACTATAACAAACCAAAGTAATTTTAATAATAATTATCAATTCAAATTTAAATTTTAAGTTTTTGAAATGTACTCTATAATAGTTCATGCGCCATTTTTACTTATAGTTTTAACCTTAGTTCAATTTCAAATAAAATACAAATAAAAAAAATTCAAATAAAATACAAGTATTCTTGTAGAGTGTACATACAATATTCAGTAAAAATTTGCAATTTTAGATAAATTAAGATGATTAATATAGGTTAATATAGATGTAGAAAATTATATTCTAATTCAACTTTAAATATTACAATAATTATTTTTCGACTTCTCGTATATGAATTGGTATTGAAAATATACAATATAATACAATTTTCTAAAGGAATATGAATAAAATCTTGATTTTTTGTATCAAATTTATTGATAGTAAACAATTTCAGGAAATAAATGTTTATCCCAATCGCAACAAACTTAATTAATATGGTACTTAACTTATTTAAATTACAAATTCAATTTGAAACAATAATTAAGTGAATACTAATTTAACCAATAATATTAAATTTATTAAATTTTTCAATTCAATCAATCAAAACAATCTTCTTTAATTCTGTAATACAGTACACCTGTTATTTTATTTTTAATTATTACTATTATCTATTTATTTAAATAGTACCTTCCAATTAACAATTACTATACACCTGTATAAAATTATTGCGCTTCTATATAAGATTATCAAACATTGAAGTGAAAAAAATCGAATAAAATATGAGGAATTATTTCAAAGTTATTAAAAAAAATTTTTCAACCGAAAAACAACAATATTGATGAAATATTATGAAAGGAAGAAATGAAGGACTCATATTTTTCAAGAAAAATATTTTAAAGAAATCAGTTTTACAGATGGCTGATGATTCAGAAATTACGTACTTTGTACGCCTTTTGTTTACTGTAGGATAATGAATGTAGGATAATTTATTTCAGGAACAGTTTATTAACAGTTTATTTAATTCAAATAATTATCTATTAACAAGCTTATACAAACTTATAAATATATCTATTATTTTATAAAATATCTTGCAAATACTACGTAGATAGCTTACAAGTTTTTCTAAGATCAGAATATAGTCAATGAATTTCAAGTTAATTTAACCAAATTGGTTAAAGTAATAATAACACAATTGACAGTGTCTTAAATTAACATTGGTAGGAATGGAAATTTATTATTTAATTCACTTATCACTATTTTTAAACATAATAATTGTTAATAAATATTAAAATTATAATTGTTACTAAACCTATTTATTCAATTTTTTAGTTTTTTTTTTTATTAATTCAAAATAAATTGATTCTATCGAAATCTATAGCATTAAAAATATTATTTAATTATAACATTGATTATTTGCAATGACCAAATGTTATAATAATGCAAATATATGTTTAACATTATTAAAAAAAACTTTCATTTTAAATAGATATTACTAATTATACATAATGGACACTATAAATGATCAAGAATAATAAAATCGTACCAACAACTTCCAAAAAATTATTATGGGATAATAATAAAGTTATAATGGGGTGTTCCTTCAGATTAATGGAGTAGAATAATTACAATCTTTTACTTTGCAATATTAATTATTCTCAAGTATTATTTACTATTTTTAATATTAAAATATGCTTATATCGTGACTATTATCAAGCAGCTAATAATTGTTTATATTTTTCGCCTATTGATTATACAAAAAGTCGAACAAACAACCAGTAAATTAACTACAACTAAAATACATAAGAAGTACAGTAACATATTTATTTTTTTTAGATTCTTATAAAATATTTAAGAGCATATACATTATTGTCTATAATTTTAGAAATATCAATGTTATATGTTTATATAATTTAATAATGTACCAATATATCTGTTATTAAATATATGTCTTAACTTTCATTTTCCAATCGATAAATTCATGATAGGGAACCGAAATAAAAAAATCACATTCATCGGATAAGCTAAATCACAAAATATTAAAAACATTCAATCAATTGCACTCAGACATACTCATAATCAGTTTTTTAAAGTTATTTTTTATTTTCATACGAGATTGTCAAATCATATGTAGAATATTATTTTATTTCGCTTAATAATTGGATTTAGAAGAACTCATCTACTTTAGAATATTTTAGCTCACTTTATAGTATCCATTTTTTTAAGCAAAGATATGAAAAACATTTTATAATTAAAAATGTCCAATTATTATTAATAAAAATATGTATTGATATATACATATTTGTCTATGTAACTATAATCAATATAAAAGGACAAAAAAGAGAGTAAAATATAAAAAATAAAAAAATAAAAGAAAAAGTAAAAGGGATATAAAATATATATGTTTGGGATATATTTATATACATTAATATATTATATATATAATTATTGTCTCAGATCATTTTAAGTTACTTTTCTATAAAAATATTATATATATAGAAATTTGTTTTTATAATACTAAGAATTTTACTCATTTTATCGTTTTAGTAGAATATTTAAATATATTTCAATACATATCCAGATTACCAATCTATCTACTATATCTAATTGCGGAGAATTCAGATTACCGTACTAGTTTATACTATGGAAACGGTATAAATAATTTGGTTCACTATTTTTTTTATATTTACATAAATTAAAAAAATTAAATAATTATTATCTAATTATAATAAATATAAGGATTAGTAATATAAAAATTATATAAAATTCTATATCATTCTATAAAATAATATTTGATTCTAAATTAAAAATCTTATTTTCATTACATATTCAAAAACAATTCGTTTGATTTGTTTTTACTAAATTGACGTATCTATATTTATAACTGTAAAATTAATAATAACTTTATTTATGAATAAATAATGTTGATTGATATCTTTAATTTTTTATATATAAAATTCATTAATGAACTATCTCTACTAGATTACAAATCAACTAAAACATATTAAAATGTATATTTGTTATTCATATTCGATAAAAACATTGAACTAAATGTTTTATTATCATATTACAGTTTTTGATATTTTAATATTAAGACAAAATAATGATTTTAAGTAGTTCAATAAATTCAATGTCCAAATAACAACTCTTAACTTTGTACTATCATTGTGATGGTACTTTTATAACAAAATTCTTGAATAAGCATTATTTAATAAGAATAATGATTCAATTATATAAAGTTCGAGATTCTGTATGAGATTAATTTATCATAAAATATTTACAAATAACATACACTGTCATACGTATAAATTTGTGTACAAATTATTTTAGAAAAGTTACAAAGTTCAATATTATTGAGCTTCAATATCATCAATTTTTAAGTGTTTTATAACAATGCTCCAAAATAAATTTTCAAAAATATTTAAAACATTTCTTATAAAAAAATGAATAGATAAATTTAAGATAGAAACCAACTTGTACACAATATAATATATTTAACAATATAAGCTCCATAAACTATGGTAACAATTATAATATTCTAAAATATTTTTATTTTATATTAAAATAAATAATAAAATTACTTTTAATATTGGTGAAATTAAGAGAATTTTAATTACTAAAATAGTAAATGTATTGGATAAACAATCATTAAATAATAAAACCATCAAATATAGTTATAAATAGTTTTATTTTGCATTTTGGAAGCAAGGATTGTGATACAATTTTGAATTCACAGCGTGCTAGATATTTTAACGAAATCATTTTACATTGTTACCGAAATTAAAATGGCTCGATATACTATTAGTATGCGTTAGCTGTTTTAATTGTTCGATTGTATTACTTAAAAATTTCAGATTAATTAATATACTAATAAAATATATTACTTTCATACTTCATATCATTAAATACTCACGTAGATATTATAAAGATTATATAAAAAGAAATCCAAGTATTGTATAGTTTCTGGGGAAAAAATTACCTACAATAATAGTGCTTTAAAGGAAAAAATATAATTTTATTCAGGAAATTAAAAAAGTAATACCTGCTACAGTAAGTGTTGCATTACGGCTAGCTGCACTTCCAACTTGATTCTTTGCAACACACCAATAAATGCCGCCGTCTTGTTCTTTTTTTCCGTGGATAACTCTAAGAAAAAAAAGCGACCCGGTAGGCAGAAGAACCCTGTGTGAATCTGATGGTGACGTCTGCACGAGTTCGCCATCTTTGTACCACTCAATTTCCGGTTTAGGTTTACCCTCAGCTTTACAGTTCAGTGTTACCGGCTCATGTTTTGCTACTGTAATATCCGATGGATGCTCGGTTATACGGGGTAAACGTAATTGTCCTGCAACATAAGTGAAACGCATTCATTTTTATTCGTAGTTTTATTATATTAATGTAAAATAATTTGAAAAAATAATATTATTTATATTGTACTATATATATTTCAGAATTAAAAATTAATTACTTATAAAAGCTATATTATTAAGTAATAAATACTGCTCAAAATATTATAAAATAAACATTACAAATTATCACTCATATTAAAAATCAATTAATTATAACAGGAGTCATATGTAATATCTAGTTAAGCACTAAGAATAAAATATTTATTTTAAATATGTAAGGAGACAACGAAGTATAAATATTTTTAAATAGTTTACAGGCCGCCTAATAACTGCTGTTCATACACTGAATACATTTCTTACTATATTTATTATTTCAATCCTTTTTTTAATATATATATATGTTCCAAAGTCGTATTATTTCCTCGCTCGAGCTGCCAATGTTTCGATAGCTTTAATATTTTGCCGCCAGCCTTAGCAAATACTTAGGTTGGAATCATGTGGAAGGGTTGTAGAAAGGTGTAATATGTGTAAATTTCGTTACGATATGGTTTATTAAAAGTTACATTAATAATAAGCAGCATTCAGTTCTCATAGAAGAGTGTAAGCTCTGTATTATCTCAATGATGTGGTTGCTCCTTAATGGTGACGATGTCGTGATTTCTGCTAATATTGTAAGGATTAGCAGAAATATGCTTACACTCCAGTATAGGACGTTTGGCTTCAAAGTATGTATGCACACACGCCTGTATAGGACGTGTGCCCTCAAAGTGTAAGTATGCTCACACTCCTGTATAGGACATGAGCCTTGGAAGTGTGTACAATAAAGTAGCTTCTGCTAATATTGTCAAGAATTAGCAATAATATGTTCATACTCCTGTGTAGGATGTGTGACCTTGAAATGTATGTATGGACATATGTTACGGATTGAACAGTTGAAAGCGGAAGACAAAAGTGGGAGAGGTTTAAATGCGCGAACGATTGTTTATAAACACTAGCCAACGAACTCGAGTAATATTTCTACACCGGAAACTCGAATATAGGACTAGAATTTCGAAGAATTATAACAATGAAACTCACAAAAACTAGGCTTATTGACGTCACGACAAATACCGGCATAGTAATAGACACCGGATCGCCACCGGCGCCTAAAAATTACTACGAGAATACTTAAGAACTGCGCGTGCCTCGCGCCAGTCAGTCTTTGTCTGTCCCTTGCCAGTCTTTGTCTCAGCTTAGCGTAATAATGATTACGCAGTAACACAGCAGCTCACTATTCAGTCTTCAAGCTTCTTTCTACAGTCATCACTCACAGTAGATACACACGTACGTTATTGCTCAAACAGTAAGCAATTTGACTATACAATAGTGAAGCACATTTCAGAATCCGCTAATCAAACTTAACGAATAACGCGATAGTGCTAGCTTTATCAAAAGTGAAACTATCGAAGCATACTACATATATTAACGGATTACACCGACCCTAAGATAGCAGCAGCGGTCCCCCTTTAGAAAGCTTAGGTGCAACAGCAGCAGTTCTTACGCACCGACACAAAAGTAGGAAAAACCCAGTCCATTTAATAAAGGAAAGAAAAGAAACACTGCATGTAGTATTGTATAATTGCATTGCCCCTTCCACTTGCTAGCAACACCTCTACCCAACATCTAAGGAGGTTTTTAGTCTGATCCCAGACAACATACCTTGAAACTATGCTTGTGTAGCAGTATAATTTCTCGTAATGCAATCAGCACCCTTGACTGCTTGTGAGTTGTAGCACACATGATAATTAAAACGTATATTCCTTGCGATGGCTTCATTGTGCGAGTGTCACTGAACGACTGGTATATGGTAGAAAACACAGGCTGAATAGCGTATTGACTGATAACTGTTTGACGGACTAAATTACAATGAGCGTCTAGGCATAGTGTGCTGCCCTTAAATATCCGCGCGGCAGCTTACTTAGCTAGCAACAAAACATCGTTGTTGTTGTACTGGAATCTTACATAAGACGTAGAAAGAATACTCTAGAAGTTTCGAGAATTCTAAGAAAAAACAAGGCTTAAGAAATTTGGAGAATTCCAAGCGACGTTACTATGCGAAGACCATATAAAACATTGTAAGACATTTGAAACCAAAACATAATAAGTATTCGAAAATTCTGGTAAAAATTCGAAGTTTTTACAGAAACTTGAGAGCTAGAGAGACTAGCGATGCCGAGAGCCAACCGTCTTGGAAATCCCAAACAATATATATATATATATATATATATAATAGAAAGAAAATTAACAATAAAGTTAAGAAAATATCAGAAGAAAGTAATTTGAATCTTTTATAACGAGGTATGATGTGCCATAAACATAACATCTATTAAATATAATAGACAATAGAAAAATTGACATGAGAGATTGATCTTATATAAAGATTGAGAGGACGAATCGAAGGTTCCTTTGCAATGCAATATACAACGATATTATAAATAAAAAGAATCATCAAGCATAGCTATAACAAATGTAAAAATAAAAATAAATAATGTCAAATAAGAATAAAACAAGAAAGAGAAAGAATTGATAACAAAGTAAAAGTGGTGGTTCATAGAAGAAAAACGGTAAAGTAGAATTAAATAAAAAATTATGTTTTTTACAAGAAAATCGTAAATTCGCTTTGTGTGGATACAATGGCACCTTATATATTGCTATTGTAATTAAATGCTTATTTAAAGCTTTAATTTATAAATTATTATGAACTTTCTTCATTAGCCTGTAGTGTACACGATTTCTTTAATAAATATATTATTTATCCTCTAATGTACATAATTCTTTTAATTATTCTTTTAAAATTTCTAATGTATACCATACATTCCTCTAATATTTTCAATAGACTATACGTTTTGTTATTGAACTACTAACATTAAAACTTAGGAAAAAGCATGCGCATCAACGATTAAAAACAAGTACAGAATTCTAGTATATAAGTATATAATGATATGAATATTTATTATAATGTTAAAAATATATATATTAATGATGAATGAATCGACTTAATGAAATGAAGACAATGTTATTATTATTCTGTTATACATATGTACATATCCATTTTTCATTCATTTTATTCTTCACACATTTTATTCATTTACGGTTCGAGTCACATTCTCGTTTTTTAATATGTAATAAATTATATTATAAATAACAAAGTTAAGAAATGTTTCATATAAATGTATTAATTTATAAGTTATTAATATTAATGTTTCATTACAGGCAATTACACATTCAAAAAAATCAAATATATAGACGAGTATATAAAATATAAATAAATAACCGCATTACAAAAGGATCTTGAAAGATTTACAATGTAAAATATTTTTTAATAAAACATATCATAGAATGATTCATAATAATAAGTTTATATTATTCGTATGTAACATATATATGAGAAAGAAGAAAAGAAGTATATAAACATATAAGTAAACAGATTATTAAATCAACAATGAAATTAGTAAAAAATTAAAAATTAAACATGAATACCTTTCTCTTATAAATTATTGGCACACGAAAAGATGCATGTTAAAAATGCCCTATCGACACTGGCCAACTTAATCATTTCTATTATAAGAGTGAAAACTAATGTATTAAATAATAATAAATAAGTACTTTCATTCACACAAAACAAATTTATAATACAATGAACCCAATTTTTACAACATTGAACAGAAATAGCTTTTTTAAATGTTATAGATGTATTTTATAATCTTTTTTAAATATCAAAATATACAATAATAAGTTATCAAAAGGTAGATTGTGAATCATTAGATGCTAATATGCGTTGCATTCTATTTTTGAAATGTTTACTAACAGGAGGTCTAAAATTTATTAGATGATTAAAAATTCAGCTAAAAATGAGTAGTCGATGTTAATTTTTTTTAAAACTACAGAATAATTGTAAAATAAGGATAAATAAATATTGCTCTATGAGTAAATTATTAAAAATTTTAAATATGTTTATCTTAAATTAAGTTTTAATTTAATTAAATATATACTTCTTTTAAACAATGAATAAAAATTTATTCACAAAGTATTAGAAGTAATTTAATAATTTTAGTAAATATTATTGATATAATATATTTACAAGAAAAGTTTTAAACAAATTGTTATATAAGTATACATAAAATAATTTGTAATTGTTGTACCTAATCATCGTATCATATATATCTATACCATCAATTCTAATTACCCCATGCTATTATTTATCATTATATTGTTTAAGTTATATTACATAACTTAAAACTTTAATCGCGATCTCTACTTTTTATTTTGGAAAAAAAAATTGTTCAACAACACTAAAAGAGGTTTAAGTTTTAAGCTACTCGTAAACCTTTATAATTTGAATGATTAAATTGTAGCTGACATATTTTTTGTTAAAATTGTCACATTTTGCATATCAAAACTAAACAATTTGTGTATGAAATAAATTATTTAAATATCTTTATTTGAATGAACCGCTATTGTTTTATTGGATTGATTAATCACTAAGTAAACTAAACAATACATTTTTTTCGGTAGCATGAGTCTAAAATTTATTACAACAAATTTTTGTTTTTATATAATCTACATACACGTTACCAAATGAATAAAATCAAAGGGTTATTAAAAAATATTTCGAAAATTATTAATTTATGGTGGTGTTAAATATGATAATTTATTAGAATAATTTCGAGGAATAAATTCAATTAAACTAAATTATACGTATTTATGTATATATAATGAAAAT